TCGTATTAATTATGCATATTTGAGAAATAAAGAATAATTTATTAAAGGCATCGGTGGCGCTATATAACAGAAATAGTGGAAACTATTTTCACTACAAACTTGAACGTTTTACCACCGATGGCGCCACTAATATTAAAACCCACTCACAGAGCGGTGGCCTTTTTATATGTAGCTATTATAGCTTATGCTACACTACGTTCTCTCAGTAACCATGTGACTGTAACAGGGTCGTATCAACAAGAGACTATGCTTTAAATACATTAATTAATTATACGATGTACTGTATCTTTATATATCTTCCATTATACATCTTACCAAATAATTAATTAATTTATGTTTCGGTATATTTAACATTGTATGATTTTATTTCAATAATTTCAAAGATTCGCTAAATTCAATTTCTACCCAAAGTTAAATGTATTGGTAGTATAAATGATAAAATGTGGATTATCAACAGTTGATATTACATCAGGACTAAAGAAAATGTCAACACGTGAAATACAGTTAATGACCACTCTTTTCATCTTTGTTCTCTTCTTGGTCTTCTGACTCATGGGGCCACATTGTAGGTTTATCAGGATTAAAAGCATGATCTGGATACAAATCTTTATAATCTTCCATTGTCATCTCTGAGAATGGTATTAGGCCCTTTATGTAGTCTACTTTTGACTGTAACTCTTTGATTTGTTGATCTGCATTTTCGCAAAATGCGTCAATTTTTTGTTCCTGTAATAAAGATCAGCATTAGCCAAGTGTAATTTCGAAGAAGAAAATATAAAAGAAAAATAAATACAAATTGTATTACCATTTGTTTTGCTTCATTATCAATGTCTGCTGTATATTTATCAGCTGGATAAGGTATAGACAATGATTCGTATTCTTTTTGAAATTTATCTACTAAACCAGGAGTTGCGACACTTTTTCTATAGAATGCCCAGTCAATTTTTGGTGGAGCTTCAGGGTTAGCTAACATACTGTAAAATATATATATTTCCTCAAATTAATACTAGATACTACTCTAATGTATTATTTATTTTTGTTTGCGAATGGTCTTTAAAGAGGTTATGGCGTTTCGTTTTTATATTCATGGTATGTCAAAATTCTTGTTCGATCAGAAATGTTCTAAATATTTGTTAGTAGTTAAATTAGAACTATATAATCTCAAGATTAATTCATAAAGCCACTCAATTATTTCAATTCGAAATTTGGAACGTACATTCGGAGAAATTATATAACAAATTTATTCTGACAATTTCTACTAACCGTCGTAAATATTGATCAGATTTAGCTCTGAACGTGGCCAATACATTTTTTTCAGATTCCGGAATCCTCTCGATGAGTGCCGCCCAATTTATCGACTTGATTGGTTTTCGTGACATTTCTCCGTTAGTATCACTCTTCAGGCCCAAGTCTCCACTTCCAACCAACTATGAAAAATGTGGTGATTCTCTAACGCTATTCTGCCAAGCAGACCGAGTTTATCACGCACGCGCAGCCCGCAAGCGACAAATATAGCGATGTGCAAAATCACTATTTAGCTAATTCTTGTAAAAGTTTTAGTGTTGTAATATATACTTACTCCTGGAATGATGTTATTGGCACTGCTTATATCAACTTCCTTACTTTAGTCCATTTATACTATTAAATCATTAAACAGGGCCCCTTACAACACCCACTTTAGTCGATCAGAATACTTTACTGCCTCTAGTTTGAAAACTTCACACTGTTCTCTAGTATTGTTCTCGATCAGTCGAGGTCCATCGAGGTCACGCCTAATCGAAATGTAATCTCGATCACACTACACTCGATATGCTCGATATGAAGATTCGATCAGAGAGCACGACACCATAGTACTAGAGATGGCGTGAACTGCTACTTTTGAATCATTCGTGATTCAATCACGTTCATTCTCAATCACGATGATTTTTCACAGTGATTCGTGATTCTTCGTGATCGCTTCGGATTGGTGGAGAACATTCTTTTCACTTTTCTTTTAAATTATGAATTATGTTGTTCTTAGATTATATATGTATTATAATGTGGTCTAAAAGCAATGTTAATATAATTTTAATACAATTTAAATTTGACTCATTTGTAGTTTCTTGAATTTCCGCTAAGGGGAGACAGCGAGACACTAACGATAACAATTAACATGAACCGCTTCTGAAACGCCATCTTCCGGATCACGGTCGTGATCGAAGTTTAATCACGACTGCGATCGTGATTGTGTGATCACCGTGGAAAATCACTAACAGTGATTTTTCACGCCATCCCTACATAGTACCTGATAGTACCCGATAGTACTGTACCGACTGGTACGCATCGATTATGAGGTACATGAACGTTACAACATTCGAGGGGTACACTAATCCATTTAGAAAAATTTAGTTTAACAAACTTGTACGAAAATAAATTACACAAAAAGCAGACGGTTACGTGTTAAACACGAGGAAAGAAATTATGCTATGCTCTTATTTCAGAGAGCCCTGAGCATGAATTCTATGCGAGGCCTAAATCTTGTCATTAGATTGACGTCGGTCTTTCAACATAATATTCAAATATTCAATAGATCACCCGTTAATTAGATGAAAGTGCTAAGTTAGACATCAAAATTGCATAAAATCTGTGTACTGTACAGCACATATGCTTGTACATAGTAAATGAACAAGATACAAGTTACTTGCTTGCATTATCGTGTACATACCAACGTGCACACACTTTGCATGTGTAAGTAGACGCAGCTTCATAAGCAAGCGCGAGCGTAGAAACGCATTTATCTACACACATGTGTGTGTACACATACACGTTTGCATCAGCGATGAAACGCACCTACAGGATCGATAAAAGAGGAAGATCGTGGTCACGGGGTACGTGGGGTATGGAAAAGGAAAGTAGAATAGCGACAAGCAGAGAAAGGGAAGTAGAGACGCGCGCGTTGGGTGTGAGTGGTTGCGAGGTTGCTCAGGGTGGTGAGTGGTGAGTGGTGAATGGCGAGGGTGGGCAGGCGGGCGGGCGGAGTGGGCGGTGGTGGTCAGGCGGTGAGCATAAAGAGGATAGGATAATATCGGTACACAACCTCCGCGGTAGCTTCAAGTTCGCCGCTTTAATACCGGCATATCTACGATGTAGTTATGCCGAAGAAAAGTACAAGGCATGTGAAAGAGCCAGGATTAACGAGAAGTTCTCATCACAGAAGCAATAATACCGCGATTGGGACGGATCAAGATACAAAACACTTTCGAAGCGTTCGCATCGGTCTTACCAACGGCAAGCGTTGGCTCTCTCTTAAGAAACGCTTAGGACTGTCAACTGATGAAGATGTTGCGGTTTATCTGCTTGATCTTGCAGAGTCTGCTTCCAGGTAGGCACGAAATAAACCGCTTCTCGGGATTAGCACGCTTCTTTTTCATGAATCCGACCGAAAGGCATTCCATTGATTTATTCACGTTTACGAAAAGTATTTTAACTGATACATAGTCGTATCTTGTCACTTGGAGACGGGACTTCCCCCCCTATCGCACCCGAATCATCCCCGAATCGCCATCTTGCGGGGGTCGATATTGAATGCGAAAGTAATCGATAACGTCTTGTTTGTCGAAAACTCAAGAACCGATTCTATCGATCTTACCGATTTAGATTTATGCCGTTTTCTCTCGTAATTGTATATAAGTCGATACAGAAAATATCTGGAACTTGTTTTACTTTACATACAAAATACCCTTAAGTAAATGATATTCTTTGAATTCTAAAATAAAAAGCAATTACACGAGTTACTCTTTTTTATTTGTTTCCTATCTTTGTTGTTTCATCCTTTTCACATACATGACTTTTTCCATGGTCAATAGGCACAGCGACAAATACAATGGAGAAGAGCAAAGAGCGGTGGATGAAGATAAGAAGAACAAGACGCAAATGGTACCGAATGAAAACGTGATAGATGACACAAAGGAATCTCTTCGTAGAAGTTTGAGAAAACAAAACAGTAATGCTGCTTCTGAACGTGAAGCCTTTTCTATGGATACTGCGCAGACTATGTTATCCAATGATGTTGAGTTACAAGCAAAACTTAGTTCGAGATCTAAACATCACAAGAATAGAGCTAAGCATCACAAAGATAAACGAAAAAAGAAAAGGCACCTGAAAACTGTTGATGTACTTTTGTCAATAGAAACTCCTGAACAACTATCCAACGATACACCATTGGAAGACAAAGAACAGAACGATGCAAAAAAAGGCAATTCTAGATTAATGGATGGAAGTGGTATTGAGCCAAATTTGAAAGATAGCCTTCGCATTGCTACAAAAGAGGTTGAATCTATTGAAACAAAGACTGAGCGCGTAGGTAGCATAGAATTTATAGAAAGTGTAAATACTAACAAAAATGTACTTTATCGCGACATTAAAGATGTCGATATGGAAAACATTGCGACGATTAATAACCAGTGCGATCAGTTGAGACAGAATACTGTGACGATAGTTCCCACTATTAAGAGCAATGCTAGTGAAACAGTCATGGACGAAGTGTCTGACAGATTGGACATGGTACGCGATGTATCTTCATATGTTGAGCCTGCGGAGACAAAGGATGATAAAAATCTTCCATGTGGTATTTGTTACATCGGTAATAGCGAATATGACGGTACGGTAGCTAATTGTTCCAGCTTGAATACAAATGCAGCTCAAGAACCGAATAATCGAAAGTTGAAAAAGAAACGAAAACGGTTGAAATACGATTCCCAAGGAGAAGAAGATGAAGATGCAAAAGGAGATTCGTCCGAGGATTTTCTAGATGATTCTCCGCATAAACATAGGAAGAAAAGGCACAAACATACCAGTGAACATAGAAGTCGTAGGCATCACGATGTACGGAAAGCACCTCAAGATGGAATAATCATACAGGATGATAAAAATCCGTGCTCTTTAACGGACGATGTATCGGCAATCGCAGATTCAAAAATACAAAACGAAGCAACTATCGAAAATTTAATGTCTGAGCCGCAAAGATTAGCTATTAAAATAAAACTCTGCCAAGAATGCAATAATCGCCACCTACAAGATGCCTGTCCATTGACTACACCTCAATACGCGATTCCGGATTCCATAACGTACGAAGATTGGTTGAACGAACATAGAGAAAATACCGAAGTTTTAAAAGCCATAAAATGCGATGACCCTATGTCCGAAGGATATGGTAAATTGGCCGAGGAAAATATCGAGTCAGATGATGAATCTCTACAAACCGAACATTGTAAAATGAAAGCGAAAACTCAAAAAGAAGAGAAGCGGTTGACTGTAGACATGGATCGACCGCTGTATGCCAGGGACTCATTGCCTGAATGCTTAGAATTAAGAATTACTAATTCGGAACACGGACTTGGAATATACGCAAGAAACTCTGTTCCAATGCACGTGAAGCTGGGTCCTCTTGTTGGACGGATAGTTAGGGAAATGGACATTCCTGATGACTTTTCCATGAGACACATTTGGGAGGTAAAATCGTTAATATTGATAAATTTCATTATGGTCTACGTATTTAACTGACAAAACGATACTTCTTTTTTTGTTTTCTTTAGATAGATAATAATGGTAAAACCTCGTACATTAGTACCACCAACCCGCTAAGGAGTAATTGGATCCGTTATATTAGACCGGCTGAAACAAAGGAGAAAAGAAGCGTCGCTGTTATTACGAAGCAGGGAGAGTTGCACCTTGTTACTACTCAAAATATTGTGTCAGGAATGGAACTTACATATTGGGCAGATTCACAATCTTCGGCATGGACAAGAAAGAATAAAGTAGACAAAACGAGTATGGTATCATCTTTCTCAATATCAGCGTCGATGGTGAATGTTGCGAAAACAACGATCAAACGTTCGAATATGAATTAAATGAGAGTTTCATTTCGTTTCGATTATCTTTATTCTTTTTCCTCTGTCTAGATTGTGGGGGATGCAATTTGAATTTTGCTCATCCGATATACTATCGTCTGCATTGTTGCATCTTCCATGACACCAACTACAGTTTGACGATAAGAAAGTATCACTGCAAGGTAAAGACAATTGAAACATTACGTATTCCATATCGTGTTGGTTCCATTTCACGTTTGATGGTATTTTTGTTTGTTTAGGTATGTGGAGCTGCTGTTTTGGGCAAGGACAACATCATGAAGCACGCAGTGGAATTACACGAAGGCCAGGGCGCATATCAATGTCAATATTGTAAAAAATTCTTTATACGCTTAAATTACCTTGAAATGCATCGAACTTACGGGTGTGCACAAAATCCGCAACGTTCGAGACCATTATGTGATTTTTGTGGACGTAAATTCTGTCAACCGCAAAAGTTGAAAGTGCACATCAAACGAATGCATAGTGGTAAGAAGTACGAGTTTATGATCAATCGATTTTTCGTATGGTATTTTCATAGATGTGCATGTATGTGTTTAGATATGTCCGAGGTGCTTCGAGAGTTTCAGTGCAAACTCTGCTTGAAACTTTTGGGTTCTCGTGCCGCCCTTCAACGTCATATGAAAGAGGTTCATCACAAAGATGTTGTTGGTGCCGCGACTTGCGATCGATGCGGAAAAATGTTCCAAAACAAGAGTAATTTGAAGATACACATGTTGACGCATAGCGGAGTGAAACCGTTCAAGTAAGATCCCGCCACCAATTTGCCATTTGCGAGTTCTATTATCGTTTCTGATTTTCAGGTGTAAAGAAAACAGTTGCAAAGCGGCTTTCACTACCAAGCAGTGCTTACAGTTTCATTATAAGAAAGTGCATGGGCTTACAGAGGAGATGATGCCTAAAATCGAACGATCAGTCGCGTATACTTTCGATGCTTATAGTGGTGGATTGATCGAAGATGTTGGTCGTGGAAAGACTCCTCGACCTAGCGGAAGAACTTCTCAGGTTTGTTCCAAATCAAAACTTGTCTCGCTACGTAAAAGTATTGACAAGCGATTGCGTGTAATTTTCTTTGTAACATTTTCAGCAAGACAATAGTAACAGTCTACCATCTTTGGACAATGACAGTTCAGAAAACGGTATGAAGGTTGAGATGACGAATAATACTACGCATTCAACTATAATCGAATTCGGAACGAATGCAACGCCCAAGTATAAAGTGGAACATAATCCACGGATGTCAACACCGTCGTTAACATCAAGTACTCTAGAGTCAACGACAGTAGAGAGCGCTCGTACAGAATCAGATTTCTACGGTGTTACAAGGTTGCAAAGCAAAGGTAGTAAAAAGTGGCTCGGTGAATTTAATCCTTCAACGACATCGGACGTGACCTTAATGTCAAATGCGATCCCCCGCCTGTCGACGAGCGTCATTACCGGGAATACTTACGAATTTGAAGACAACAGAAAAGAGATCGATGAAAAAACATCATTGTCGACGGTCACCGGGAGAGCACAGAGTATCATGGACAATAGTAAACTCGGACTTGGCGTCTATAGAAGGACTGAGAGCGCTAACGCTAGTTTGTTGGTCGAAGCTGCCCTTGACGCCGCTGAAAGAGAAATAGGAGCTGTGTCGAGTCCAATGTTGGAGGATAGTGGTCGCGATACTAACCTCTACTCTATCTCTAGTCAGCTGCAATCTCCGTTACCTCAAAGATCACCGAACCATTTGGATTCCTATATGCAGCAACAGACAGAATTGTTATCACCTGCGCCTACTCCAGACAGTCGGAATACGCCACCTACTCATCTGCACGTCGATTATCAACTGCACCGGCCCGTTGACTACATCGGTACACCGAGAACACATAATATCGATCAATACTTGCATCACGAAGACATACCACGCGTTCCTTCGCCAAACAATTACATTCACATTCAACAGGACGATTTAGTATCACCTTCCGCCACACCGAACTCTCGATATTCGGACGTGCATCATCACCATCATCACCACCACCACCATCACCACCATCAACAGCAGCAACAGCAGCAGCAGCAGCAGCTGTCCGCGGACAATTTATCCAGCGACGAAGGTGATTCCGTAGCGCAAAATCTCAGTCTGTCCGTGAAAGAGAAAACGATGCAGTTAGATCTTTCAACGTCGTATAAATACGATACCCTTGAGCAATGTCCTCTCGTTCTCAATGGAGGAGAGCTTCAGGGCTTGGATATGTCCGCGAGGGGATTCCATCACGGCTTTGGTGTGCAAATACAAAACACCAGTCGATATCGCCACCATCATCTGTATGAAATTACAGAAAGGCAAAGCGTTGATCTTAGCAGGACCGGAAGCTATTCGATGTCACCTACACCTCTTTCACCAGCTTCTCAACCACCGCCTGTTACCGTGGCAGCTCCACCGCCTCCTCCTCTATCTTCCTCTGTTCCTGCCGGTGTTCCTCCACCTCCGCCACTACCCCCGACACCGCCACCACCACCTTATCCTCATAACGACGTTTTGAGAGTCGTAAGTTTGGATCTCACTCCCGGTGGAAGGCATACCGTCGATCTCACTCTTTCGAGATCTCACTTACACGGAACCGGAGCACGTGTGATCGCGAGTCCTCAATCATCAGGCTCCGGTACTCCGCACATCGTACCTGATGCGGTGGATGGCCGAATATTGTCTTCCTCCCCGCCACCACCTCCTTTGGCAGGATACAATCCAAGTTATCCTGTAAGCCCTGCGCCGTATCATCCACCTAGACCAGGATACCATCACTACACTGGTTACTATTGATCGCGTTCGGTTTGCCTCAGGTATATACGTCGATGCTGACTTCCAGTATGTTGTTCAATTATTCTTCTGCTTCTTGATTTTCTTAAGCATATTCGCACACACTTGTTTCTTGCGTATTTTCCCTTTCTACTCTTATATTTTCAGACACCTCTTCGAATTTTTTTTTATCATAATCCTGCTTCTGAATAGGCGAGGATAACATGGAGTAGAAGTACTGCCACTTCGTGCAGTCGCTCGTAGAAATCATCGATTCTTGTTTATACGTTTTTCTTCCCCGTTTCTTGTCGTAGTAATTTTGTACATTTTAAAACCGTGCAATACTCGAAAAATATTCTTTACGTCCATTAACGTCGACGATGTTTCTTGATCAACGCGTTCAAGGACTTGATTTGGTCTTTCGTTAGTCGAGACATGACAGAAACTTATGAAATTGATCGAATAATCGAAACGTAACTTTAGACAGGTTAAAAATTTGTAAAACTCTTTATCTTTCGAACTAAAGTACAACTCTGGATCAGAGCCGCGCACAAATGTAAAAAATCAATTATGTTAGACCGTCGAGTTACTAAAACGGTTTAAAGTACGCGATCGGGTTAATAAAATCACGTGTTAAACGTGATCGTCGTAAAAGTGTATAGTGAAATGGGGGGTGTACCTATTATTTTTCAAATGAACGTTATTTTTTTAAGATATTTATAAACAAAATTGTAGAAAGAAATTCGTTTCGCGATTAAAAGTACGATTCATGGATTAGAGAAATTACGTGATTTCTCGATTATGTCACATTCAGATCGTATGTTTATATTATACACATTCTTTATCACGATCATATAAAATTCAGACACGATGATTGCACCATTTGTTAACAGATAGATATTTCCATAACGAAATTTTACTCAACTTTTACCATTAACGCCATATATTTATTTATTTCTTGTTCATCGATAAACACGTACATACGTGGTAGATACCACATTAGTAATCATCATCAATTTTCGTATTTTAACATTCTTCGTATAATTCCTCAACGGCCTGAACGTTATTTTTCTCGTCGTCGTTGTCGTTCTCATCCTCATCGTCATTATACTGTCCGTGACACTTCGATTGAGAATTTTTCAATCGAATCGCTGTATATAAATTGAATATGAACGAACAGGGAGTTTCGATACTACTTGTTCGATTACACAATTTTTAATTTATGAGATACCTGTATCGCGATATCAATCAATCGAGGCAGTTCAGAATTCGCGAAACAAATTATTCGAGTTGCCTAATGATAGCTGTAAGTATAGGCATAGCGTTAACGAATATTAGACGTTCATTTTCATTCTAGTCATAGCATGCGCGTGTAAGATTAATATTAATTAAATTGTAATGAGTTGTCTGACATTGTACAAAAAAAAAAAACACGATAAATCTACTCAAAGACACACTTATCCTTGTTTGCATTGTACAACAGATGCAAGCAGTAGAAGTATTCAATTGTATTATAACTTTCACGTGAATTAGAATTGATAAGACAAGAATCAAGCTTATTTGTCAAATTCGTGGCGCGAGTAGCTTCCAGTTTTTTTCAAATTTTATTTATTAATCGTTTCCGAGAACCAAAGACCGAAGAATCATGGGAACTTTTGTGCCAAATCGATAAGACGTTTGTCACTGTACGTGCATTTTTAAATCTCAAAAGTCGCCGATTATTTTATATTATTTAAAAATACTCGTAGCGTTTATGTAGGTATGTACATGAATATACATGGATGTATGTATGTATGTAAATATATATGCTCTGATATGTAAGCGAGTAGATGCGTGCATGCGTCATTCATTCTTTTTTTTCTAGCGGTGCAAACAAATTTCTCATTTTTTAACGTGTATTCTTTGTCAACTCTTTGTATATCGTCAATGTTGTTTCCTTCCGTTTTTTTGCCTCTTTTATGTTCTATATATTACGTTTACACATTTTAGAAATTGGCGTTTCCATTTGACGACCTTCGACCAGTTCTGCATATTACTGTCCTTATTTTTATATGAACGTATGCAAAGACAAATGTCTTTTATTCATTTGTTCGTGTATTATCGTAAACTATGATTACTTCAAACTTCAAACAATGTTCACGAGTACAAATATAGCACAGAATACATTTGTATCGACTTTCTTAATATCGTAAATGAAATTAATAGAATAAAATAGAAAAAGAATAGCATAACGAATTCTCTTTATTTTCCCCCTCCACTTGTAATCGTAATAGGAGTTGTTACTTAGAAGAGTGAATTTTATAATTTTAGATGTCATGTACTAACAAAGATGTTATATAAATCTGAATTTTGAATCGGCGCTTACTTGAAGTTTTCGGCAATCAACGGCGATGAGTTTGCGCCCATTCGACGACGATTGGTTCGCCATCTACAGTCAGCGGATACATACACCCTGATAGCTATTCGATTTCGAGTCGGTGCCACTCACTTCGTGCAACTTTGTATTCTGCTCGTAAGGAAAAGTTCTTCGAGTCACTGAGAAGCAAAAAAATGTCTTGTACAGTCGTACGGTCGTCTTTGCTACGTGGTTCTACGGTAGAAATAATACTTTTCTTCCTCTAATTGATTAAAAACGTATTCATTTGCTATTTCTTGACTGCGAATAGATTATCATAGCTGTTATGTAAACGATTCGATACCATCCTGTATGTCAGCCTCTGTCGTACGAGTTACATAGAGCTAGATTGTGTCGAACGATTGTGTCTTTTCGTAACTAAAACTCCAATTGTTTCTTTTTATTTTCGTTTTGTAATTTCTCTTCAATTTTTAACGCATACCAAAGATAGAAATAAAACAGAAACAAAATGTACGTATATCGAACTTGATAGTATTTTCACAACAGATTAGGCATTACGCGGCTGCAGCGACTGCGCCGTCTTCTGCTTCTACTGCTCCTGAAAGTCAAGTTTTGGGCAACAAAGTCACTGTTGCTGCTCTTGACAATAACTCACCAATTGCCCAAGTATCCATCGTCTTCAGGTATTTGAAATTTATATGAAAAGAACTTGTTTTGATTTTTTCCTTTGTACACAAGTGTTTTATCCGTAGAGCTGGGTCACGAAATGAAACATACGATACACAAGGTGTGGCACATCATTTGAGGATAGCAGCAGGATTAGGTACATCCGAAGCTAGTTGTTTTGCCATAACAAGGAACATTCAACAGCTTGGTGGAAATTTAATGGCAACTGTAGACCGCGAAAGTACTGCATACACACTACAGATTACTAGAAACAATTTGTAAATACTTTTTTATTATGTTATCTTATATGTATGGAACTATGTATCTTCATTATAAACCAGTCTTTTGGTGTCAATAGATCAGATGCTCTAAAATTTTTGGAGTGTGTTGCTACAAAGCAAGTATTTAAACCATGGGAGGTATCAGATGAGCAGCCCAGATTAAAATACGAATTGCTCTCCTTGCCAGATGAGACTAAAGTTATTGAATTATTACATAAAGCAGCATATCGTACCGGCCTTGGATACTCCTTGTATACTCCAAAGCGTCAACTAGGTAAAATTGGCACAGAAACTGTAAGTATGCATTTTATACACTTACTCATAAGGCAAACTGTTAGCATTGTTTGTACAATGTTTTCCTTCGGTTTACAGTTACAGCACTTTGTCAATACATGGTGCACTGCACCTAGATGTGCAGTTGTAGGAACTGGGGTTTCATTGTCAGAACTTTCCGCATTTGCGGCAAATTTGGAACTTGGATCAGGAGATCCTACGAATGAGGCGTCACGATATTATGGAGGAGAGATTCGTAAAGAAAGAAGCTCCGATCTAACTAATGTAGCGGTTGCCGTCGAAGGTGTAACCGCGAAAAATGAACAGGACGCTCTAGCATGTGCAGTACTGCAAAGAGCAACTGGTGCCGAACCACGTGTTAAATGGGGTGGCAGTGCGAGTCCATTACAAAAGCAACTTTCGAGCGCTGCAGGCACGGAGCCGTTTGCTGTGTCAACGTTTAACGCTAGTTATTCCGATTCAGGACTTTTCGGTGTTGTTTTATGTTCGACACCCAACGCAGCGGGATCTGTGAGTAAATACGACTGAAATTCTGATGCGTATTTTACTCGTGTATTTTAATCACGAATTTAATTTCATTTTAGTTAACACAAGCAGCTTTCAAATGGTTGAAATCTATGAAATTATCCGATGCTGATGTTGCTCGCGGTAAAGCTATATTGAAGGCTGAAGTTTTAAACGCAGCGGACAATGTAAATGCTTCGTTAGAGAATTTACAGTATGAAGTCTTGACAAAGGGTAAAGGCTCTACACCCGAGTCGTTGGTTGCGGCTGTTGACAATGTTTCTGCATCTAGCGTCAAATCTGTATGTATACCAATGACGCGACATACATATCGATTATACTGGATTTACTCTTTCTTTCAAATTTATTTGTTTCAACAATATGTTATGTTTTCTAGATTGCCGATAAACTTTCTGGTGGAAGGTTAACCATGGCTTCCATTGGCGACTTGAAAACTGTACCGTATCTTGATCAATTGAAATAGATGTAAAACGTATTCCGTTAAAGCGGCGAGTAGCACGAAGTCGATATACGGTCTCTTTTGCATCGTTGAGAAGATCGAAGCCGTAGTTCGTGCAAGTTACCCATACAAATTCCTGCAACACGTTTCGATAACGCGTGTGCTTCATCGCAGTGAACGTAACATTCTGTAGATACGAATAGAAATAAAAACAGCCTTTATTCCCAATTTCGTTTCCTGTACATTATAGCGAGTTTGCATTAAGAATGCGTTTCTAAATTTGATATTTACAGATAAAGTGTTCCAAAAATGTTTAAAGGTCTTGTCAATCAATATTAAAGAAAAATAGTCATGTATACTGGGTCAGTGATTCTTACCGTCTAAAGAAAAAATCATCAGTTTCAATGTTAATCAATACACTTGCTCAAAAGATAAGGGGTTTTGTATGGTGGGCTCTATTTCTGAGGCTCAAGTTTGTTCCATATTAGTAAAGCTTAATTTCCTCTATCGCGTAAAACTTATTACGATTCTTTTGTAACAGTTTCGATGATTTGCCGTTAATAGTCCTTTTTAATATTGGCCTCAAATTTTCCATATCCTTAAAGAGCCGTAGCTGAAAAAAAGACAGTTATTACAGAAGGAAAAACTACAGTTAAAAATCTATTACGACAAGGTTTCACGATTTTCCAGAGATACTTACGTGATCGTCTAAAACACTACTAAGTTTGTTAAGAAGCATCAACACTTCTGGATCTCGCGACAATACGTAATGCTGATAGTGAGATTCTAACAAAAGGCTAGACCACTCGTATAATTGTTTATCCGTAGGCTGTTGCGCGATATAGTTGAAAAAATCTTCTTGATTGTCTAATTTTTGTGCCAAGTATTGCAAAAGTCTTAGTATTTCATCGAAATTTAAACCACTTTTCAAATACGACGATAAAGAAACATCGGAATAAGTGAGACTAAAGATTTTATCGAGAAATTCGTTTCTCGAATAAAACTTTTTGGTAGCGAAATGATTGTTGACTGTACCGTTTTGCAATGGTAAAAATGTACTATCGGAACTCCGCAGTGAGAAGATCAAAAGATCGATCAATAACTTTTCAGGCAAGTCCTTAAAAGTATTTAAACACCACACGATTCCTTCGACATCTTTTGTTTCTATCAACTGTGGAATCAATATTTCTTGTATTGCGGCATCGCTTAACCCTTCGTTAACGTAAGAGGATATTTGTTTTGAAAGTTTTACAGGAGCTGATTCAACCGATTGTTTAACGAAAGTTGAATCATTCTTTTCCCATTGAGCTACCGTTGATTCCTGTATTACGACGATTTCGTCGTCTTCCTCGGCATCATCGCCGGCTTTAAAACGTAAAGATGAACCAAGTAAAGTAGCTATCCTTTGAGGAGCCAGATGGTAAGGTGCAATTGCTAAATGTCTATTTGCAGCAAGCAGTAATTTGTCCTCAATTTTCCATAATTTTGCATCTCTTGTATAAAGTTTCAGTTTTTGTGTGTCTTGTACCAATTTGAATTGCACATTGTAGATCATTAATACAGCACCTTCTTCTGAAGCATCAGCCCCATAAACTGCTATAGTGGCTTCATTTAAAGGAGTCATAACTACTGGATGCTTGGTATCAATATTAGAAATAATACCGATCAATGTATTTAAATTAGATTCATTATTTGTTTCTGTCAAAGAATGACTATACAGTCTACCATGTGACCCTAACAAATGAAATAGCATAAAACATGTATCATATTTGAAAGAAAATAATAAATTTGAAACGGAATTAAATGACTTACATAATGTTAACAGACATGCTTTGTTTTTGGTTTGGAGTACCGTATGACCAACCAACTCCTCTGATTTCCTCTTCAAGTCTATCCTCCTTGCACGGTCCACATCCTTGGCATAAGTTTTGTCATTAAGTTTAACCACCATGCAATTATACATTCCGTTGGTTTCAGTTAAGAGACACAAATTAATTTTGTTGCCGGTGCGAATCAAATGACAATCGAAAATTCTTTCATTCACACCTAATATCCCATCCTTGGACCAAGACTTTCTGTTTTGTACAGCCCATTCTAACAAAGCAGTAGCACCATCTTTGCGAACTAACACAGGAGGACAAGTTTCAAGAGTAAGAATAGTGTGCAAGGGAGATTGAAACTTGTAACCCTTAATGTTATTTAAATCTGTTTCTTTCTCGGACCAAAGACGTATTTTCTTTTCGTTAAATATCGCTGCATATCGGTGAGTCGTTTCATCGTAAATAACTTGTGTTGTTAATCGATCTTTACTCGTCCAACTGCTCAATTGCTTTGGATCCTGTAGCTGTGAACACAATCGTATAATTCATACACAATTTAAATGCGAACTTTCTATTAAAAACAAATGCTATTAACGCAATATCGATGTTTACCTTATATCGAATGACAATATTCCTTCCTAACGTTACAATTGCACAGCCACTTTCCGAATCTCTTTCGACACCAAGCAAATTTTGTTGATCGATAAGCGGACAGAGCGTATAGTACGAATAAAGTTTTGCCATTTTAAACGCATTAAATCATTTATTTATAGCGCACGTGTTATTGTTTGCAGGGCCTGAACTAGAGTAGCTGGTACCCCGATGCAACTTCCAAATTAGATATTTCTAATTCGTAACCCTTTTCTAGCTTGTGTTACAAATTAAAGATAATAATACTATGTTCCCGATGTGGTACATTATTTGCTTCTATGTAAAGTTGAGCCTGACTAATCTATCGGAGTGAACAGAATCAATTTCATTGACAACCATAACCCGTATTTTCAATTCTAACATTCTCTTCATTGATGACGTTTAAATGTATTGCTTAAACGATCTTCAGCTCTAAAGCTGTACTATCATTTCCACGTTGAAGCTATATCTAAGGTAAAAAGATTTTTATATTAAAATTTAATTGAATAAATCATTGAGGGTATTCAGACAGGCACCGCTCATTGAGCAGCTCTGTGAGCGGGTGAGCAGTTCCAGTAGCGCCATCGGTGGGAAAACGTCCAAGTTTGTAGTAAAAATAGTTCCCCATATTTTTATGAGATAGCGCCACAAACATCCTTTAATAAATTATTCTTCATTTCTCATAAATACATAATTAATACGATTCCTGGCCTTATAACACTACGATATATTAGTTGATATGTCAAATTTATTATTTATATGAATAGTTATTCAATTTAGCGATAATCATCGACTCTTTAATCAGTGGCGTCATCTAGGGGCAATAGTAGGAACTTTTTAAACTTCAAACTTGGGCGTTTTCCCACCGATGGCGCCACTAACTGTTTGTTTGTTTATTAAATTAAAGTCCGTACATTCGGAGTAGTACTTTGCACTACTATGTGATGCCCTCTTTTCACATTTTCTTTTTTAAACGTTTTACATTAATGCTTCTTAGTCTCTATTCTTACTGGCTATCCTTCTTATAACTAACTGTAATAAAGAAAGACATAACAATGAACTTTTTAATTTGTAAGTCGAGGTTGTCATACTCTTTATTCTACTATGTTAATAAACTTTATATATGAATATAGGTAACTCGTCTAGTATATATATATAATAGATGCGATATAATAATATATATATTTAGAATCTTCTATATAAATATATATATATATATTTTTTATTGTATAACAGACAAAAGAAAATAGAATCTTTTTAGAAGATATATACTTCTTCCTAACAATCCTCAGTCTTCATATTGTTTTCATTTTATTGTTTATAAAGTTTTAAGGCCGAAATTGCAAAATCAGCCCTTGGAGTCGCATCCGCCAAAGTGTAACGAATATATTAAAACCAGAATTATTAGAAAATATTGCTTCTTTGCTTCAATATCCTAGGAAAAAAATTATGCTAGCCTAATCGCCCTGTCCTCGTCTCTCCTGCAATTATTGTATCGCCCTCTCTGTCCTTGTCCCGCAGTTTCCTACTTTTTCCGCAATTGTCGCTGAAGTTAGCTCGAAGTTTGGCTTTGGCTCCTGCGCACCCTTAACGTACTCATTGCTTTTTTTTTTTAATTTTGATAGGAACTTTCCTAGGAAAGCTTGGACTTTTGAGTTTCGTTTTCTCCTTTTATTTTAATGTATAACTATCACATTTTTTGTATTGCTTGGCAGTTTCTTGTTTCTTTGTGCCACTAACTGAGGGGTTGTAGGGATACTACATAAAAGAATTACGAACATGAACTAACACCGAACTTTAACAACAAAACAATTTATTTAAAGAAGAACAATAAAACAAGATTAACAATTTGAATGCAAGGAGCTGGTTGGAAACACGTTTGAACTGTATGAGGGTTGATAAAGGAATGTTAAAAATAATTGCAACTAACGGAAAAATGAATTACGCGATAAAAGAAAAACGTAATTAAAATCCGCTACGTTCAAACGCAATAGCCAATCACAAACAATTATTAAAGTGAAGTATGAAACATATGTGAAGTGTCATACATATGTGAAGAACTATACATGTGAAAATCGATAAATTTGTGTAACCTCAGAGGATTGATAATTATTGCTAAATTGAATAACTATTCATAGAAATGATAAATTTGACATATCAACTAACATATCGCACTGTTATAAAGCAAAGAATTGTATTAATTATGCCTTTATGAAAAATTAAGAATAATTTATTAAAAGATATCGGTGGCGTTAAAAAAAAAAGTTCGTTAGGAAACTAACAATAAATTAAGATACTTTTATTTTATTTTATTGTATTCATATTGTATTTTTGTTAAATATTTATATTTACAATATTATAATAGTAACAGAAGTCCAAAAGTCTGAAATATATGTATAAGAACACACAGAAGTATGAAATAAAAAGACTGAGACAAGGGAATAAAACAAAGTTAAGTCGAATGATAACAAATTCTTAGCCTATTTACAAATATTAAAATAGATTGGTGCGTCAAGCTGGGAAAGCCTAGTACAAAATAGTCTGATAATCTACAATAAGTATATATATCCAAACGGTGCTCACAAATATAGATCATAAGTTTAATATACATAGCTCTAGAATAAGGAAAGTATAAGTAGGTTTAGTTACAAATAATGTGTAATTCCTAACATAGAATATTTTGAAACTAGTTATAAGGAAACGCTTGTATTGTGATTATCGATGTAAGACAGTGCAATGTAGAGGATACCTACGCACCAAAAAAAAAAAAATGTAGGTGGCGCCATCGTACGTAAACGGTGAAAACTATTTCTACTACAAACTTGGGCGTTTTCCCACCGATGGCGCCACTACGTACTAATTGGCGCCAAATTCGAAAGTACAAAGTGCGCATATATCAACAAGAGAGAAGATCGTTTCTATATTAAATAATAACTGCTCATTCATTAGTTCAATAATTATTGTGCTCTCTCTTTAGATCAAATACTTCACAAATAACTATATTGGAAAGCACTGAAATCAATGTTTGAGAAGTTTAATGAATGATACTTGTGTATATTATGTTAGTTTCTGTCGAAGTTAAATGAGATTGTTGCAACACGGAATTTTTTATTTAGAGAGGAAGATGCAAAGTGGAAGCACAGTATTTTCCATCCATGGTGTGGCAATATGGCACCATTGTCCGAGGAAAGAAGGCCGGGAAGGGATAGAGCTATATACCGTTGGGGTGGCTTGATTGGAATTCAAGTTTATCCGCAGCGTTCGAGGTGAGTTTCAGAGAGAAATAGTGCTATAGTTAAACTGTTATAAAAAGAAGTGCCGACAAAGTGTATAAAAGAGTGACGTTGCAATAAGTTCTACTAAAGTACTCGCGTTACCGAATAATTTCAGATAAATAAAACAGAACATGTTGTCGTTGATCGGTGTCTCTATTCTTTGTTTGTTTACGGGTAAGTGAACGTGAACGTCTTTTACGGTATCCTGTGGTATTTTAAGGAGCATTATATTTTATTTTACAACAATATCATTTTAACTTTTGATACTGGACGCGCTGGTTCGTCGACTGCATAGCATCACGCAGTCCATTGTGTCTTTTCGTCGATCCGATTGGAATACCAATCGAACAGACAGCAAAAGTACGGATGAGAAACAGAGGAGCGTGGAAACGCGAGTGTTAAGGACTTCCGACCCCTTCATCTCCATACGATGAAAAATACAGCGAAAAAGATGATTGCTAATCCGCTTTAATCGTTGTGTCGGTTCTTTCTTTAGGTCTAGGTTGTACTCATCTTCTAGAAGTGGAAAGGGACGAGGATCGATGCGACACGATCATGAAAGAAATTGCATCCGAAGACAGAGCAACCGTAACGGATGACACACCGGCCAGGTTGCATTCGACTTGGTTATCGGAAGAGTAAGTACATATTCGCGGTTTTTCAATTGTGGAATCGACGTTCTTGACGGGGATTCATTCGAAATTGCTTCTACAGATGCGAAATACGCGCGGGACCCGAATACATCGTAAGGAAATACAGTTTCTTCGCGAACGGCACGTTCCTTTTGCTACGATTCTATTACGCTGAAGAGTCATGCAGCATCGCAACGTACACCGTCGTGGCTCGTGGATCTATCGAAATCACGTCGGCGTCGGTCACGGTACCTGGTGCCACCGAAGCCGACGTTCGGCTGGACTCGATTCGCTTGGTACCGTTTAACAGACAGGTAGAGATCGATCATCGTTTACATTGTACCGTTTTCGTGACGCACACCTTCTGACTCGTCGCATTGCCAGGTCGTTCACAAATTTGAACGCAGACTAAACGCGAGTTGCGGTGGGATCGAAACTAAATGGCGTATGTTCACGGCGCAACTGATCTACGAACGACGGGAGATCGATGGATCGTCGAATGCTAGTTTTCAGGATCACGGTTTGAACTCGAATTCCTTTCAAAGTCGCTTGCCACGGCCCAGGAACAGAGGTTCGTTGGAGTGTCTGGAATACCTCGGCATCGAATTCACCGAGCTCGGATTGCTTCGAGTCGAGAAAAGACGCTTCGATTCAGTCGACGCGGACGGGACGCGAACGAAAGTCGAATTATTGCTAGGCGAGGTGGGTCGAAACGGACGTTCCGTGAAACAGGGTGTAGGAGCACGAAGACCTAATCGGTTCCAATCAGCAGCTTTGCTGCGCGCTGATACGGTAAGGGCGCAAAGTTAGAGGAAGTGGTCCATGAACGGGCTACCGCTTTCATTTTGGTACCTACTGATGTGCCTATTCACTCAGAATGGATACGTTTGGTATTGGTTACTTCGAAAAACTGCCCTGAAGGTGATACGAGGATTCAAAAAGTTGTTTTCCTTGCATGACCCGGAATAAATGTGAAAATGACGGCTTTGCAAGAGGTGGGTCCAAATGTGGGCTAATTGTATACAAAAAGTAACTCATGACGTTACAAGTATAAAAATACAACTGTTTGAAAACTTGATTATCTACTGCCCTGGAATTTTATAAAAAAAACGAGAAACATTTTCTCCATTGTTTACTTATAGAACAAAAATAAACAAATTGACTAAAACAGTTGACCTGTCCAAAGCGCAGGTTATCTACATCCAGAGATGGGTTAAGAAAGTGTGTCATTAATTTATTATCGCGTTATTCACATTTTTATTCATAAATTTATTCATATTCATATTCACAAATCCGCGTGATGTTAATTTATTCATATTCATATTTATGAATATGAATACCCCCATCTCTGTTTACATCGAGACGAGGTAAGAGCCATTTACTCAACAACTAAGGAAGTATCGAAGTTAAATATAACTTGAGTTGCGTAAAAGTAGGTTTTCTGATTAACCCTTTGCGGACGAGTGTCGGCAAGTAGCCGCTCGATTTAGTTCACAGTTGCATGTACGTCTGTCGTTCCGAACGAAAAGATACGATAAAGTGTCGAGAAGAAGAGAGTCGAGGTATTACTATGCTACTTGTTCGTCTATGCCGGCCTTACACGTAGGCGATTGTTTCGAACGACATCACGCAATGAACGAACATAAAACGGCTGTATAAGCAAAACCAAATTTGTTTTGTTGCTTGTTTCCTATTTGTTTGTTTATAATTTTGTTGGATTTTATGAAAAAGTTTTTCCACTTCATGGAAAAGTTTATTAAAGAAAGCTTTAGTTTTTATAACGCAAACGTTAAACCAGTATATTTTCTTTACCGCGTGCTCCAATACCTCCCGTCCACAGCAACGCAAAGGGTTAAACAATTCCTACCAAAGCACGTGTGCGAAGGTCCAAGCTCGTTTGCCAAAAACCAGAGAAAAAGCAAGTAAGGACCGAACGGAAAGAGACGTCGGAATTGACCACTCTTCCCCTAATCCTTGCTGATTTTTTAACTTCCCGATTTATAGGGAAGTTATTGTATTTGCCCCTAAACTGAAAAATCGATTTTTTAGCAGATCTCCATGTTTCAAGGTCATTGGAGTAATTTTAGCCTATTTTTAACAAATTGTTCGCGCGCACGCGCCTGTGTGTATGTGTGTGCGCGTATGTTAGTACGTATATAAACAAATTTTTCGTTAGCGTTTTCTAAAAAATTAATAGCGAGATCAAAATGATCGATGATGCAATCGATGTGTATCAATCTAACTTAGAGCTGATTAGATTTAGTTCTAATTCGGTCGAGTAGTTTTTTAGTTTTTTTAAGAAAACTTAACTCAATAACACAATCTAGATCGGAGAATATAAATTTATGAGTGAATAACTAAATGGAAATAATATATATACATATAATACTATTATTACATTTGTATGCATATGTATAACACATGTACATACAGTATGTTCCAAAAGAATGGAAACAGTCAAATATTTCCAAAATGAAACATTTGCGAGAAAAATGGTTTAGAGAAATGTTTTAGGGTTTCAAAAATTCTATTGAATGGTCGTGTCCGTTTGACCTTCAAAGGACCGGTTAAAGTCACGTCAAGGTCAACATGATTTTTTTAATGGAACACCTCATCTTTTATCATGCACTGCGAAAGCTGGCTATGAGACCTTTTCAAAACACTAGTTTCAAACATTTTTTTTATACGCGATAGATGGCGCTGTAATCGGAAATCGGGAAGTTCCTTGTGTGGCCCGTAAAGGGTCGCACGCAAAATAAACATGAATAGCTATACGAATTAAGTGAGCAAGAACAACCCTACTCGCGAGCTCGCGAAGCAAGCGAGCAACAATAACCAGCTAGTTTGGTGCAATTCTCGCGACTGTGCGCAACCCCCTTCCCCCATTTTCAGCACGTAGCTCGTACTTAGACCGTAGCTCGTTTTCAGATCACTTCCTCTACCTCGAATACCAACGAGGACTCGCGCAGTGATGGGCAAAACCCTAGGCTTCAAATAAATCTGAAGTTTGCCGATGTGTTTCTCTCGTTTCTTTCTTTGGAAAATATTCAACAGAAGAAACGAGACAAATATATCGGCAAACTTCAGATTTATTCGAAGCCTAGGGTTTTACCCATCACTGGACTCACGCCTAACCGTGCCATTCCCTTGAAATTGTAGACTTTCGGATGCCTGACCTGTGGAAGCGTGCTGCGCGGTTCGGAGTACAATCCACCTCTGTTTCATCAAGCGCCATCGCTTCCGGCGGTGATCGACGGCATCTGGCTGAGCATCAGATGCGAAAGCGTCGACGAGGGTTTCTGGTCCAGGAGATTCTTTCGCATTTATTCAGGCGGTAACCGGTGGTCCGCGCGTTGGACTTACTACACCGACTCCGCGTGCTCGATTCCTCTGCATACGGTCATCGTAGCTGGCACTTACGTTCAACGGGCGGTCAGACGGAAACGAGACGACGACCATTCGAGTATCACGATCGATCGCGAAGGCGCTCGACTCTGGAGGACTCGGAGACCTCTAATTCCAGAATCGAGTGGACCTTCGATTACATCGCGTGGCACTTGGCGAGAGAAACCGGATGTGGTTCGAACGGAGTCCGTTTCTTTTCGAAAAGACACCGCGCTGCTCTCTGGAACGACCGAATTGGAGTTACGAGTCATCGAGAGTAGGTCAGTTCCTGTCGACAAGACGGTGTGGACACGTTGCTCGACGGCTGCGAAAAGAACGGCAACGGGAAGCTCGTGGTCGAAAAATTGCGTACCTCGAACCGTCGAGGCTCCAGCGGTTCTGACGTTCAAGGCGAGGATAGGTTTGGATTGGAACGAAGAGTATATTCTGCTGCTAGCTCCGTGGAAAGACGAACTCTGGGAGGCGCCTCTTCGTCGATGCTCTGGGACAATTTCGCAACGTTACTTTCGAGCAAACAGTGATCTACCCGAATCTCTCCAAGGACGACAATTTCAGACTGAAACGCATAATCAGTTACTTAAACGACAGGGTCGATATTGGTTTCCCTCTTCGACCACCTCTTGCCTTTCAACGAGTAGTTCGTTGGTCTATCTTGCGATAGTACATTTGCTACCGAAGTTGCACCATGCTTAACCGATTACGCGAAGTAGTATATATCGAAGGGAGTGTTTTCGTTGTGGTTTGATAACAGTTATTATAATTTTAAATAACGCCATCTAGTAGTTCAGCCCAACGACAGCTAGAAATTCGATGAAATGTTATCGCTAGACTGCGGATCTTTATGCATTTGTAGGAAATTTAAATGTGCAAGAAAGTATGAAATGCAAATAATATGCAAGAATATAAAAAAGATTGAAAGTAAAGTTCATGTTATGATATTTGCAGAATAAAATTTGCAGACTTCGCGCACACGCAAGAGTTGGAGAGATTGAAAATCTAACTAACTAAACTAACTGATCGCGAACCGCCACCTGCTGTACCATAGTTAATGATTTTCTGCGGACAGGACATTTTTTCTCTCAGAAAACCCCTTCATTGCTTCGTGACGCACTAAGACCCAATTGTAACGGAACATTTGTTTGTTACTACAGTAAAATCTCATACGCACAAATTTTTATACGATAAATGTACAGAAACTATCCCCACTGACCGAAATGGAGAACGGAGTTGCGAGTCCAACATGGACTTACGAACAAACAAAACAATTGAACAAATGATTAATAATTATTTGGCAGAGGAGACACTCGTACACGCATGCCTTAAAACTAACCAAACCAAACTAAGATACCCACAAGCAATACCAAGCTAAGCTAATACTAAGAGAAACTACAAACAGGAGGGACGCGAGATGTGGACGCGCGATCGCGGACGCGTGATCCCGAGATCTATATCGATCGAAGGATCAACGACGAATGATCTATCACCCCTCGTATACACTACGGTGCATAGCTATAGCACTGCTACAATTTTCGTGCGTTTTGTAGATTTAATTAATAATTTCTAACTTTTAATAGTATCGTGTGAAAGAGACTAAAAATATATTATAGCAATGATAAAAGGGCGAACATAACATTTATTTAAGACAACTAATAATAAGACTATAGATATTTCATAGGTGCACAACTATAGCGCCAATGGAATTATAACATAATAACAATATTACATTATACTGTAATGGTTAAATTATAATTTCAACGAATAATAGGAAATGATTTAATAGTGAGTAGGACCTCCTTTCTTCTCGATTAATTCAAAAATGCGATTTGCCATACTCTCAACTAGTTTTTTTCAAAATTACATCGTTAATTTCATTCCAGGATTTTAGTACAGCTTCTTTTAATTGCGAAATGCTCAAAAATTGTTGGCTGTGTGCATAAATACGCCGTACCATCATACCCCATAAATGTTCCATCGGATTTTGATCCAGGAAGGATGCTGGCCAGTTTAATAAATTTATATTAAGTGTTTGAAACCATCTTAGTGTTGCTCGACTTTTGTGTATTGGGGCATTATCTTGTCGATATGTCCAAGTAATGTGGTTCTTCGAATGAATAAACGGCAACAAATTGTTCTCCAATATTTCAATGTATTCTAAACTATTTATTCTGGATGAAGGAAACGCTAATTGCAGCTTGCCACTCGAGCAAAACGCAGCCCATACCATTAACGTTCCCACTTCAAAATTGCGTTTAAAGAAATATTTTGGGACTTTTCGTAGGTCTCTCCAGTAACAATTGAACCCATCTGGGCCATCGAGATTAAACTTTTTCAGAAAATATTACCTATATATATTTATATAAATATATATAGGTAAATATTTAAATATTAAATATATATAGGTAATATTTAAATATTACCTAAGTATTACCTAACAAAGAACGTTAAGTAGAAGAAAATAATGTCCCCTCTTATTTTGTCAATTAACATTAAACTTACATGATCCCAGTTTTTATTCATGTTTTCGCGGGCATATTCCGTTCTTGCTATTTTGTGACGTTTAGAAAGAACGGGTGCTGAAATTAGTTTTTGTCTGGCAATGTTTGGATTTCTTCTAAAGACACGTTGAATGATCCAACGTGACACTTCGAGTCTACATTCCGCTGCAATTTCCCGACAGCTTTTCAAACTATTGCTCCCAATTTTAATAACCTGCCTCTCAGCACGCGGGGACAATTTCTTTTTAGGCCCTCCTTTCTTATTTTGGCCATATTTCGACGGATTACGTACAAAATTTGATATTACTTTAGGGGATCGCTCAAGTTTACATGCAATTTCCCTAATCCCTAGTTCTAACTTGTTATAAGCTAAAATTTCACCTTGCTCTTTCTCAGTAAAATATTTACGTAAAATATTGCGTGGCATTGTATTAATTAATAAATAAAATTCTGAATTAGATGAAAATTTTGTGACAAACACGCTTAAAGTGTGATGAAAATGAAGGTGGTGCTATAGTTTTGCACCGATTTTATAATGTTTTTCGACTTTATCTCGATATATGCTTAGACTACTTCAGTATATTTCCTCTGAAATTAATTATTTACATCGCTTCTTCATATTATCCAACTACTGTCTTTGAATTTTTCTTTTATATTTAAAAAATCTTAAAAATATCAGTGGTGCTATAGTTATGCACCGCAGTGTACCTATGTCGGTCAAGGGATCGCGGTTCGTTTGTGCCCCTCGAAGTAGAAAAGGGAAAGGGCGAACAACAACCGTGTGACATGACGTGACAGGTTGATTCGAAGGCTCGTTGGATCCATCCACAAATGAATTTATGAAACATTAATACCACAGCATAATCATATTCCTTATCATTGTTTAAATAATAAGTATTGTTAATAATTAATTTAACTACTGTCAGATATTAATATTTAGTTGGTGCAATCACGGTTCAGAATAAGCACTTATCGAACACAGTAATCGTGAGAAATTTTTCTATATCGTTGTATCTGTTAGCTGAAATAACTAAAAATTAATTTCTGACAATAGTCACATTAATTATTAACAATATTTGTTCAAGCAATGACCGAGAATATGACTTTGCTATAATATTACACCGCGCGGACAGCGGTAGATGCTTTTTCTAAGAATGTTCAAAATCATTACTAACCAATAAGTGACTAGTTTGTGATTTCAGTCACCGGCCAATTACGTTTCTTTTGAGTAGCTTCGTGTATAGACGACCTAATAGTTTCCGAAATATTGAACCACATAAGTTTTGTCCCGCTAGATCGCTGAAATATCATACTGTGCGTCTTCTACTTTATTTGCTGTGGTTCTCTATCGTCATCGCATTTCCCTTCCACTTTTTAAGCTGTGTAACGGGACATATTTATTCTGTTACTACCCACCCATTTCATCGCTTCACAGCATTTTTCACCATATAACGTGACATGAATTTCGGCTGTTCGAAAATAAAAAAATTTTTAATCTTAAAATAAATTCCTATTTAGGTTTAATTTTTGTTTGCAAAGAGATCTTTTGCATAAAGATCCGCAGTCTAGTTACCACCGACGAATGCTTCATTAGAGGTATTGCTCTTCAAACGAAGCGATTTAACGGTTCTCCGTGTACGTATGCGATCATCGCTGATTTTTGGGAATTTACATCCCCTCACCCTTGCATTGCTCGTGTTCATGAAAGTTCTACCTTATGTTTATATTCGTACGTACACGTTCACATCCTGCACTCGGTTAATCAATAAAGCATGACACATGGAATATGTGGAAATTGTTTCCATTTCCATCGTGGACGTCTGACACAATTTTTTCGCACAGGTTTTAGGGCGATTCGATCGAAACGCGCACAGGTGACTCTTATCGATTAAGAAGCGCGCGGATGTGCGGATGCGCTCTCAAATATACGATTTCGCGCATGACGCTTTCCGCCGTCTCTTTCCCTTCGGTCCTTGCTTGGCTTTTTCTCTGCGTTCCTGGTTTTTCGCTCGCCGTCGAAATTCCTCGGCGATATCCGTCTTTATATCAACTGGTGGTCGGTGCCGCACGAATCGATCCTCGTTTCGCGGTGGGACCATTCATCCGAAATATAGTTTTCACCTCGGTGAGCTCGTTTCGTCGTACGCGACCAGATCATCCGATAGTAGGACAAAGACCAAAGGACAGAGAGTGTGATCGAGCTGTGAGGTAGTTGACCCGTACCGAGGTTTCCGCGCGCAACAATCGTATCCCTCGACTTTTGAGATTGGGATTTGCGTAATCAGCACAGCTGCGTTTACCACTGCGATAATTGAGTTGCGAGGCTCATACATCCACACAGGTCGGTGCAACGCTTTTTTAACAAATATTTTCCATCTCCTCTGCATGGACGTTACTCCCAATTCGAGTGACCGTGCCTTGCCCGTGATTCTAAAGCTTTAGCTCCTGATATGGGGCAATCGCTGCCATAGAGGTGATCTAATCTCATCAGCTGACTCGGGAGATTGGGGATAGAGCACTCGATCTTGGTACATTTGGACTGGTGTATACGAAGGAATCGACTGGATCAATTTCTGGAGAGTCCTGTGGTATATTTCGAGCCATGACGAAGCTTTCCTAGCATCATCGACGCTATTTCGAGTTGGTATATCGATTCTTGCAGTTTTTAGTCGAGTAAACTAGAGTTTCGGATACGAGGGGATGGTGATATCCAACAGCCATCGGTTTACAAAATGGCTGACCTGCGTGAACAAGAGGATGACCTAACAAGAGGAAGGCCTGCACGAAACAGTGGGATTGTAAAGGAGCACGGCGCAAGAAACCACCAACGAGGAGTCTTCAACGAGATACATCGCTATAAAATAGCCTAATAGAATTGAACAGATGCGAGCTGTGATCTTCCAGCGTACACGGAAAAAATCGCATGTGCGCAGATTATGCATGCGGCAACAACGAATTTTCCATAATTTCGAGCGAATTCGATAGAATCGCGAATGCATTCTCGATCATTTCGTGACCATCGTCTCGTTCGATTATTTTTCATTCGATGTCTTCCCGCGAGACAGATCTTACGCGACGTTCTTTTCTTCGAATACACGGCTGAACGACTTGGTTCACGACTAGAAACAGTCGACGAGAAAAAAAAACAAGAAATTTGCAACGGTTAGCAAGTTGTCGCGGAGCGCTACCCGATAACAGAAGAGCCGTTAGAGATTCACTCCTCTCGCAGCGATCCAGGAGGAGGATCTCGAAATTTGTAAGAATCTCGGAAGGAACGTTCGGTGGTTTTCGTGAAACGGGCAAACGTGCGCGACGGATCGTGTTCGTGCATTCCAGCGTCGCGCTTTTAATAATAGATGAAAAACGTGGGCGTTTGGGCCGAAAAAAGAACGAAGACAAAGCGTCAAGGGTCGAGCGTCGGATGTATGCAAGACTTGGAGACTGGAGTGCGCGGAGTGCGAATCGCGGGGAAAGAATGCAGCTTAGCTCGTCGCTCGTTCATTGTTATACGCGATTCTAGAAATGTTTGCGAACGAATCGATAAGAATCGGAATTTGAATGCCATTGGGCTCGCCAGGTTTCTGCGTCGGCGTCGGCGTCGACGTCGACGTCGACGTCAGCATCGCTGTCAATTGGGCAATTAAGAGACAAACGGAGATTGAAAGGAAAGTGTACGCGACACGGAATAGAGGAACCTCGAGACGCGGGAGCAAAGTCAGTTGGAGAGACGCGGCGAGGGAGAAGAGAATTCATGAGAGAGGACCGTCTCGAGGGAAAGAAAGGTGTTCGGAGATCAGCTGAACGTCGAAAGTAACGAGCGCGAATAAGTACTCGTCGATGGAATCCCGGAGAACCGTGAAATGGGAGTGTCGAGAGTAATCGTGGACCAAGAATCATTCAGAAATGACGACGTTCGCGCAAAAGAGCCTCTTGGGTTTGACGATACTGACCACCGTTGCTTTGCTAGCTTTGCTGGCTTCGAAAAGATTCGGTCCCGAACCGCGAAAAAGAGATGGGATCTTGCTCGAGATGCTTAACAACGTTAGCACCGAGTTGGACAGACTCGACTCGGGTTACGACGGTATAACCACGCAGATGGATGTTGCGAAAGTTCGTTTGGCGCAGTTGATCACTTTGCATCGCGAGAATCTTCTGGTATGCGCGATACTCCGGGAGAGGCGAAACAAATCCATCTCGGGAAGAATATCGGAAACCGACGGGACGAGGTCGCGCGGTGGCTTCCAGTGAACCGCTCGATCCTCTTCAGCGTCCGAAGGATCCATCGGCCACGTCGGTTCCTCTTCCTTTCCTTCCCTTGTTGTCTCTTCGGGCATCGATTCTCCTCGCGTCGATTACTATTGAGTCGAGTATAAATTGCCCTACCGCGTGAATCCATGTATACATGTTTGCGAAATCCATGCATAATGGAGTTGGCAGCTTGGCGGAGGAAAATCACGCGTCGTTTCGTGCGGTCGCGTCAATTAGAAACGCTTGGCACGTTCTCGTGACGACGTGACGTTATCGCTCTTCCAGTGTTTGCAATTTTGCATTATTCGTGGGACCTGCCTCTTATCGCGGGGATCACTCCTCCTTTATTATTGCATTCTTTGAGTCGACACGGTCGAACATTTGGTCGAACGGTGCTGCTCCAGAGTAATATTTTGTTATATTAAAACGTGGGAGATGCCTGTGGAATAAAAGAAAAAAAAAGGGACGTTGACTTTTCTTGGTAGTAAGTATACGCGTAAATAAATGTTGTTGACCCTCGCAGAGGTCATTCATGAATCGATGCAAAATAATGTTCTACGGTTTTCCAATAATTCGGCTGTGTAAGGTATGCGAGACCTCACCAAGGTGTGATAAATATTCGCTAAGAGGGACCCAATTTTAATTACCAAGAAAAGTTAATGTCTTCCAACGTTTTATATATTTTGCAAATAATAAAGTAAAGTAACTTGTTTGATATTGTTTACACTAGCCTGTTGTATCATTTAAAATTCTATTAACGGTACTGGCTGTGTTAACTTATATTTTTCACGGACATAACGATTAGATATATTTAGGTATCGATGTTAATAGCAACGTAAGAAATGCACGGAAGCACGATAAGGAAATTGAAGTAGATTTATTTATGTATACGTTTCTAAGCGAAAGATGTATTCGCTTGAATTACCGAGAGAGATCAATATTTTCTAACATTTTATGTCTATTACGATAGATACTAAATAAAATAATTTACTTGATATAATTTACCATACGCTGTCGTATCATTTATAATTCTATTAACGCTACTGGCTGTGTTGATTTATATTTTTTACGGATATAATAATTAGATTTCGGCAGCGATGTTAATAGAGTTGTAAGAAATGCACAGAAGCACGATAAGGAAACTTTAGATAACAGATTCCCCTTTATCTCTTCAACTACCATCACTGCCTTAGTTCTGTAACGTGCCAACCGTGGCGCTGGGAATTCATTTATCAAAATATCTGCGCAGTAGAAAAAAAATGTCATTATCGTTAGGCCGCAAAGTAGCTTTAATACTAACCAAGAGTACTCTGTGGTTAGGCAATCGAGATACTACAACTTTCCCGCTTTCCCTTTCACTTTCTTCTCATTCCCAACGCATCGGTCTTACTGTTCTCTACTCTAACCGTCACTTGATACCATCAAGGTCGTCCATCGTTCAGCACCGACCAGAAGAATGTCAGGAAAGACAGGTACGCTTTATTGAACTGTACGTACAATCGATTCGTATCGTGTATACTGATCGACCAACTGATTTCCAGGTTGCTCTAGCTGCGGCGGCCCTGGTTACAGATCGCCCAAAGCGGCGATGACGGAAGGCCCACGCGAAAAGCTAATGTACGTCGTCTGCATTCATACGGATCCAAACAAATCGGATGTTTTGTCCACCGTCGATGTGGATCCTGCTAGTCCTACTTACTGCAAGGTACGATCGATAGATTACGCCTGTTGATACAATGATCTATCTTTCACTCGCGTTTCGTAGATCATTCACAAACTGCGCATGCCTCACGTCGGCGACGAGCTGCATCATTCCGGATGGAACATTTGCAGCAGCTGTTACGACAAACCGCGAAAGCGCGATACTTTGGTGCTTCCATGCCTGATGTCGGATCGTGTCTACTTTATTGACACGACCAACGAACGGACGCCATCCATCAAAAAGGTTCGTACGATCGATCGTACTTACCGACACCACGGTGGTGCCCCTACTTCGCGTGCTCGCCGTTCGCTGAAACGGTCGTGGCGCTCAAACCTGGTGTAAATGCGATATTGATGGTAAATAACTAAAAAAAGAAATGTCTATTTTCGCGAGAAGGTATTGTCGCCAGCAGAGGTGAATCAGTACGGAGTATCAACGTTGCACACCAGTCATTGCGCGCCAACCGGAGAGATTATGATTTCCACGTTGGGCAAGCTGAACGGCGACGGAGACGGCAATTTTCTTTGCATCGACTCTGAAACACTCGACGTGAAAGGCACGTGGGTAATGGGAGAGAAAAAGGCAGCCTTTGGATACGATTTTTGGTATCAACCGTACCACGACGTGCTCATCGCTACCGAATGGGGTGCACCTAGGGTTTTCAAAAAAGGCTACGAGCCAGGTGCCAGCTCCGATCCTGGTTCGTATTAGGTTCGCTGTTCAACGAATGGTTCAAACCTTTGCACTCGGATGTTCCCTCTAAATAAAATTATTTCTTCGAGCTTTTGTATCTCCATCTCCTTCGTTACGATGACCGATGATCGTGATATACGTAAAGGTCATTGATAACAGAGTTATCGAATTTAACGTCTCGAGATGTAATTTATCTGCATGTAAACGGATTTCGTTACCAATAGCATATACAACTATTATCGGCTACCGTTACTGCAAATGAGAAGATACGAAAACTTGAAAATTTCTTGTTTTCGTTTTTTTACTTCTCTCTTCTGTACTCTGTGCACTTAAAGTAGCCCTCTTTCCGTAGCGGTGTACGGCAGGAGTTTGAATTTCTACTCATGGAGCGAAAGAAAGTTGAAACAAACGATAAACCTGGGCGAAGATGGGATCGCGCCTCTCGAAGTAAGGTTCCTTCACGATCCAAAATCCAGCGAAGGACTCGTGGGATGCGCGGTCACGTCGAACGTGTATAGATTTTACAAAACACCAGAAGGAGGGTGGTGCTCTGAAAAGGTCATTCAAGTACCGCACAAGCAAGTCGAAGGCTGGATTGGTTCGCAGATGTCAGGTATAAGTCCTTGCTTGACTTCGGAAGCAAACTCGTACGACTATTATACAGGGTGAGTTTTATAACGTGACGTAAGGTATTTGTTGTACGACAAAATGTTTCAAACAAAAGTTGCATGGTATCTAGGGGACATACAGTGCTGTAATCTGTTTTTCATTACCTTACTTTTTTATTGAGATATTAGGGTCACCTTCAGTTTTTTAAATGGAATGTCTAATATTTTTTTTCGAATTCGGATAAATCATGAAATTTTGCGTAAAAAAGTATTGAAGTGCATGAAGTGGGACTTCAAATGAATAATTACTAAGATATCGTCAAATTAATAATCTTCTATTAAGAAATACGCTAGTCAACGTGATTCTTAGCACGACTTTATTCACGTCGGTAGGTCATGTCTGTAAACAAGTTCCCTGTTAAATATTAATAATCATCAACACGAAATGCGTATTCAGTATCTCAGTAAATGTTAAAGTCGTATTGAGAAAGGTGCTACATTTTTATTACGGTGTTCAGTAACAGTGAAACAACGATATGATAATTGTGGGTATGAAGAAAATTATGGTGCGTATGAAGAAAATGCTAAATACAAGAGGTAAGATCTTGTACCAAGCTAAGTATCCTGCTCGAAATCCGCCATCGCATTCTACCTCTTTAAGGCTTAGTCGAAGACTCAAAGAACATGGTAATTTTGTTCAAAGTTGTGAATAATGAAGGATGTCGTACTTCAACCTTAGCAACTATTGCCCATAAACTTCTTTTACATATATCTCAGTAATTTTTCATTTGAAGTCTCACTTCATGCACTTCAATACTTTTTTACGCAAAATTTCATGATTTATTCGAAATCGAAAAAAGATATTAGACATTCCATTTAAAAAACTGAAGGTAACCCTAATATCTCAATAAAAAAGTAAGGTAATAAAAAACAGATTACAGCACTGTATGTCCCCCTAGATACCATACAACTTTTGTTTGAAACATTTTGTCGTACAACAAATACCTTACGATTTATTTGAGGTCGTCACGTTATAAGATTCACCCTGTATACACACCTGAGCTTACACAAACTGATCAACTACCTTGATAACTGTTTCATTGGTATGCAGGAATGATAACCGACATATTGATCAGCCTTGACGATAAGTACTTGTATTTATCCAACTGGCTTCACGGAGACGTCAGACAATATGATATTTCCGATATCAAGAATCCAAAATTAACGGGCCAAATCTTCCTTGGCGGCTTGATTCTGAATGATTCAAAGGTTCGCGTGGTTAAGGATGAGGAATTGACTGCACAGCCGAGTCCTGTTTATGTCAAGGGACGTCGGCTCTATGGTTCTCCGCAGATGCTTCAACTGAGCCTTGATGGAACACGCTTATACGTGACCACTTCCATTTTTAAACCATGGGACAAACAATTTTACCCTGAACATGTCAAGTACAGTTCACTTTATTACTGTCTCATACCTTCGTAAAAGTCAAAGAATGTTGTCGGTTCTTGACCATATGAATATTTCTTCAGGAATGGTTCGACGATGGTCAAGCTGGACGTGGATGTACAAAATGGCGGTTTGAAACTTGACAATCAATTTTTGGTAGACTTTGGCGAAGATAAGAATGATATATTGCTTGCACATGAAATGCGGTAAACGTTTCTCCCAGTTCGGTTAATTAAATTTTCTATATTTACAATTGACACCCATAATTTTCCTTCTAGCTATCCTGGAGGTGATTGTACATCCGATATATGGTTACCCGAAGATTTGTAGATTCGTCTAAATCAATTTCCTCTGCATTCTTCGAGATATCACTGATTACGTGCCTGTTATCCGAGGCAGATACTCTTCTACTCAATATACGTAAAGATTGGCATATTTTGTACATAATATTACAATTAAAGACTATTTCTTCAGTCACTTGTCTACACAGTCTATACCTTGACCATATCATTCCTTAAAGTTTACACGAGCTACGATTTAATGGATATGATTGATATTCGTATTTTCAAATTAGCGCGGGCTCTAATTGTAAGTGTAGCAACTTTCTAGGGGACTTTCCCTAGTCTCTAGGTTTAGGTTGGCTACGCGTTACCGCGCAACTGTAGGCTGGATAAATTACGCGGGACGAGAGAAGACGCTCTCTTACGTGTCTGGTCAGTATAAAGTATAGAATTTTCCGAAGTGTCCTATTATAAAGTGTTAGCCACGCGTTTTCCTTGTTGTATTAATTATATTCTTATTTGTTATCTCGTAAATAAACTTTTATTCAATTCTTATACAGTAGAGGGCACTTCCTTTGGTGATCCTGCGAGGTACTGAATGTCGAGTAAATTAGAAGCAAGAAGATAATTCACGTTGTTAATTGCTGTTCCAATGAAGTTCTTTGTATTTACGACTGCATCCTGGGGCACATTTATGGTGATGCGGCCTAGAAGACGCCTGCGCGTTGGGAGTCAGAACCTTGGAGACGAATTCTACCTCTGTAAGTATTACTCTGTGGTTGAAATGTTTAAAATGACGTCTGCCGCTGCTGGCCGCTGTCTTGTCAACGTGATAATATGGCGTCTGCGTCGGTAGGTGATTGAACATTTTAATCCATTCAATTTCCATACGTTGACGCCACGCTTTTATGTTACGATTTTTACCGTATCGGTTCGTTTCAAAGCATAAAAAAGTGTTTGATTGAACGCAAGAAGTTGGCGTCATTTCGTTGCCGTAACAAGAGAATCGTTATTGACATTTGTCCGTGAATTTCCGTACGTATATTAGAGATTTATGTTCAAATTGATATATATAAAATGACTCTTTGCAAGCATATGTATATTTAGCCACGTTCATTGGAATTTGTTTTATTAGACGTCCATTTTCCCGTTTAGATCGCACTCGTAGTGTCTCTGTGTTTTTCTTTACAAGATTTCTTATTAAAACGATAGAGATCCGTGTTCTTTGGTTGTCATTATAGTCGTGAAGTGCATTGTCGGTGTTTCAGGGCATTTTGTTAAAGTTCATGTGTTTATGTTTGTTAGGTTCCTTTGCTAATGGATGACGATACGATTGCTTTTGGGGAGGAGGATGAGGCTGGTCAAAATAGCAACAAACTTAAGTATATAGACCGATACGAGACAGTATGTATACAGGGAGGTATATAATACTGACAATATATTGAAATTTTACAGACATCCATATGTCACCATGTTTCATTTGGCCTTCAGGATAATGGCGATAGTAGTTTATATGTTATGTCGGTTATTCTCGGATAGTTTTATATCTAGCTTTGTAACTGTTGTATTACTTCTATCAATGGACTTTTGGACAGTTAAAAATATAACTGGGAGGTTGATGGTTGGTCTTAGGTGGTGGAATTACGTTGATGACAATGGAAAAAGCCATTGGGTATATGAGTCGAAAAAGGTGTGTTTAATTTTTACTTTTCAGGAATACATACATCAAGGGTTTATGTATACTCTGAACATTAATTCATTTTCTATTTGAAGAGAAAATTATTAGCATTCGACAATTCAAAGCATTCCGTAATAGAGCGATTCTTTAAGAGTCTATTACTTTCAATTATCATGCATATTTTTAGTCTGTCAATTTCAGTAAGCGCACTATTTCAATTCGATCGAATAATTCGTGGTCTCATCAGTTTTCACATTTTATGCCTATGATGTAGTCTACGTAAAAATATCTTGTGATTACGCAGGAATTATCGTTCTGCCATTGCTGGTAAACATGCGCTGGCAAGAATTGTAATTGCTTATTATAACAGATTATACAAGGTCTACTATATACCCTGTGTTTCAGGGTGCTCAACAGAATCGTATTAACGCAACTGAAGCTCGCATCTTTTGGTTAGCCCTTATTCTCACACCTATGTTATGGTCAGTATTTTTTATGATAGCTTTGTTCAGCTTGAAATTTAAGTGGTTACTACTCGTGTGTATTGCAATTGTCTTGAACGGTGCAAATCTTTATGGATACGTAAAATGCAAAATGGGTAACGATCGAAATTTATCCTCGGCTACAAGCGATTTTCTGAGAAAACAAGTCATGCAAAATGTGCGTAGATAAATTAGTCGTATCGCTATGATAGCTGGTGAACACGAGCAAATTTATAAATCATTCCATCGTAGGTTGCGTCGATGATGACCAGAAGTCCACCGGCGCATAATCCAAATCAACCAACTAATGTGATATAAAGCTGCACATTCGCAGCCAGGATATTATTTAAGAACAATGTTGCCATAACGTGCACCATGATGAAAAATAAAAAACATTTGTACATAAAGATCACGTAGGCTTTTCTTATAAGGCTAAATGAAAGGATATAATAAAACTGCTAACGAAGATGCTTAATCATTGTTTTATTCATGATCTCCCTTGTGTGGATGAGAATGAATGGATAAGAATGAACGATAAGAATCACGTTAGTTATTAGTTTATTGATGCCACAGGGCAATACATAATGTACACGTTATTTCTCCTTGTCAACAGACTTCCTATTACACAATATTTAATTTGTATAAGTGTTAATTAGTAACATTGCATTTATCATATTCACTTCAGCCTGTTGTATTCTTTCTGGCAAGAAAGTATCACAAAATAATTTCCCATTCTTTCAACGATATTTAGTATTTGACTTATTCTTTGTCTTTTTTAATTCATATTCATCTCGGAATGAACGACTGTATTCAATTACTGTCTCGTCCGAGTGGATGAACTCGAGGTGACCGTACACACAGTAACAAACTCGTCGTAGTATTGCACGGAGCATAAATGGCCGATTGTATTTTGTTACATTATTAAAGACTGCTCCGAAAAACGCGAGTTTCGTGTTTTTTTTTTTAAGAAGAAGAATACAACAAACCACATATTGCTATACATTTTGGGATATAAAAAAAATTATAAACACTAACAATAGACACGCGCCTAAGTACAAGATACACAAATCTTTTGGAATGATACAAAAAAACGTAATAACGTTACGATCGGTATCTTATAAATATACGAATATCGTGGACTTCTTTGTTATTGGTAAATTCATCGAATACAATTTAACGCTACCAACTTATAACTAGTAAATATATTTATACAATCATTTAATTTCGTTTTCTCGTAACGTATTGTATTTTTTAGTCTGGAACTTTAAACACGAAGTTGTCGACCACGTTGGCAATACCGCACTTTGTGCGGTGAAACATTTTTTTTTTTGTCCGCTGTTAAAACTATATTGATAAAAGTCGAATGATAGAGTAAGAAGTAACACCGGAAGAGTAATGATATCTCGAGAGTTATTGTGACAAAAATCTCTGCAATTTTCTCTCGTTTTCTTTCATTTTTTTTTCTTTCTATGTTTGCTCGTTTACGAATACTGTAAGAATCATGCGAGTAGGTTGTTTGAATTGAAAGTTTGAAAACTATTTCTTTTTTTTTTGTATTTTTTTTCTTAACAAGACGCTCTATACGGACTACATCCCTCGCGCGTGAGAATCTTAACGAATAATCGATCTGTAATTCGGTAGATGCAAAAATTTGTTGGCAAGGAATTTCTAACCAGGGCATTTTACTTATTTTGTCAGTCTTTTCAACGATCAAAAGAAAGTCTACAGGAAACGTTACGAAGCCGTGAATCGCGTATAACGATACTTGGAAAAATCATCGTATTTGATTAGATTTTTAGTAAGTTTTTACATACCAATTGTACTTTATAGCGATAGCGCATTTTCGTCGAAGAAATTGTTTTGCATTGATTCTTTAGTCACATTTTACGGGAAAACAGTCGTTTCTTCGTTACCAACGTAACAATATCGAATTTGTGTTCTGACAGAAGCACGAATATATCGTTAAGAGAATTAAAGCGTAAGGACGACGAAGAGACGATAAAAGTAACTTACACGTGAATCAAGTCGGTAGTATAAAAAAATAATTATAAAAATAAAATAATGATTTGGAAAGTAACTTCGGAGCTCGCACCAAAGGCCAGTACATTTCGAAATGTCAGTCGGTTATCAATTTTGTTCGCGTACGTGTGTATAATTAAACGTTTGTTTAAAAAGTTCAATGGGAGAGAGAAATTTCGTTATATATCGCGCAGAATTAATGCACGGGACGTTAATGGAGCCATATGTAAAATAAAAATAGTGTTAACGGAGTTTGGGTAAACAACGAGAGATACGATGATTAAGTAGTTTACCTTTCAATGATGACCGAGCCATTTAAGTACTATTACAAGTACTGAGAATACGTAGTAATAGATCAGACGCGATGGCCTTCAGTCTTACAACATGAAATAAAAACGATATAGACAAAAATAAATGCACGTTCTGACAAAAATGGAAAGTAATAATAACGCAGCAATGCACTTAGTCTGTAATGTAAATCTCGCGTTAAAAAATACGATATGCACGGTAAGTTCACGTAAAAGAACAAGACTTACATCATACAAAAAGGTTAAAAAAGATCGTATCAAAAAACGCGTCAACCGGAATGAGAAAGGTGTGAAAATGAAGTTCGACGAAATCGTGTAACAAACAACGTGCTTTTTCGGATATCACGCATCAAACCCGGTAGTCTGGAAAATATCCACCCAGTTTCATTCGATGCGTACTCTCTTAATTTGTGTTATCCGTAATATATATCTATATATATATATATTATTTATCATCTTATTTATATATATATATTTATATATTTATATTTATATAATGTTGCTAATGACAGACGGTGCATTTATGTACACTTAGTCACAATTCCTGACCCTCGAACCACTTTCGAAAAAGGAGAAACATCGTCGATCCTCGATTCAAACGGTTCAGAATCTAAATGTCGAATTTGAAAGAAGAAAAAGAACAAATACGAAAGAATTCTGAATGTGCCTTCCGATACCAAATACCGAGCGCGTAGATCGTCGCACGTGCGAACAATCGAAGCCAAAGGAATGCCAAAAACGAAAAAGTGATCCGTTCTTTACGGGGTAGTACAGTTTATCATCGTATCATACTTATAATATTTTAGTAAATAGAAATTGTACGCTGTATCGCATCGAACAGCGACGAAACGACTCTGTATACCGAAACGGTACGACGATGATTTTCGAAATATAGAAGATATACAAACGAGCGTATGCTTATTGTCCTCGTAGACTACGCGACTTTGCAACTCTTTGAATTACAATGTATAATCAATACACGTCGAAATGGTTTCTCGATCGTTATCAAAAAAGATATACATATGTACCGCGTGGGATCGATTGCATCGTTAATTGTTCGTTTTGTTGTTTTTGGCATTGATTTGGCGTTTCGGTGCTGGGGAGCGGGAGAATGTAAAGGGGGAGAGATGACAATGTTTCGCCCGTCTTACGGGCTTTAACTTTCGCTGATTGCGAGGTACGCTTCCGGGTAGGTTCTGCTACAAAACGAGTTTTAATCCCCAGCACGAAGCACTCGGTTTCAGTCTAAACCGAGCCAGGAATGATCGAAGTTGGTAGAGAAATTGTTGGTTTAGATAACCGGGAAAATCGTAAAAGTAGTGTCGAGGTAGAAGCCTACAATGGGACTTTGTACACGAGGGCATCGAGGGCTCGGGGGAACAGTACGCAAATCCGACATACAGTGCTTCTAGTTTAAATTAGTTCTCGTAGAGACCTGCACAACACTTTTGTGCATTTTAATTGAATATAGGCACCGTTTCCTTTCACTCATGCACCATTCGAATCCCATCTGTTTTTTTCATTTTTCTTGTTCTAATGGCGTCGCTTATCATCTAAATCTTAGAACAATAGCTTACGGTCTACTTAAAATTACAGTAGGTAATGAGAAGATCCCTATCGTGCGTAATGGGCGCAGCATGAATAATTGTCGATTTGGCAGTATGGTAATTTTCGTGTCAGTGAGCGGAAAATTCGCGTCCCTTCTGGTTTACTCTCGACGCTAGTTACGGAGATCTTTAGCGATTTCCCTTGTCCTCGATAAGTACATTTTTATTTGTTCTTTCTTTATTTTTATAGAACGTGTCACGGTCCGTGCTCTCGATTCGGTTCCCCTTGTTTCAGACGTATTACGTTTCCCACAAAATATGGAAGCACTGTTCTCCAACGGATAGAAAAAAGTTGTTCAACATATGACTCGCGAGGCTCGCGATCGCGACGATAAATCCCCGTCGGTTTTTCGCCTTATCGTTAGCTTAGCAACCTAGACTATCTAAGCAACCGTAGTTTCACGAGGGACCTGGAAAAAACGTAATCGCAAGGTGTCTCGGGCGTTGATCGTCGGTTGGATATGTTTCAATAATCGAACTTTCGATTACGATTTTTTCGAGATCTTTTCATCTGGTTTCTTTTTTTTTTGTCATTTTCATGTCATTTTGTTTAATAAGAATCAGTTTCCACTGCTCGATCAACTTTCGGGTCTGTGTGTGTGTGTGTGTGTCCTCCTCCTTCGTTTCTACACCACTTCCCCCAAAAAATTTTGTGTGTACATATGTATACACGTATGTGTTCCATAACCCGTAAAATAAGTCTCGGGAAAGGATACCGCTACAGATATGATTGTTTCTACGATTACTTTAGCCGATACGTTCTAAACGGCAGTCTTGTTCCGTTAGTCGTTAGGGAATGTGAATAAAATCGAGTATCAGCACTTACGGTGCCGCGAAAAAATGAAAGAAAAACTCTCCACACGGCCGTGATCGCTGCGAACACCATTTACTAAGATACTCGCGGCTGCTGCGCGTTTAGTTGCCCAAGAAGTTAGCCCAAAATTTATCGCGTTTCTACTATATCTGTCCATGGAAGGTACGAGTATAGTACGTTATTCACCCGAATCATGGTGTAGCCTACATTTCCCGTTCGTCGAATAGTTATACACATACTCCTCCAAGAGTGCTCCCATTGTACTAGACGCGTCGTACTTTCGCTCGTTCGCCCACGTCTCTCTCGTTCCTCTGACGATCCCTTCTATCCCTGCTGGATTCCCGTTCCTCGCGAGAATCGGGTTGTCAGTTGGCATAATGATCGAAAGAACCCAAGTATTCCAAACTGGCGCGATAACAGAACTGGTATTGGTCCTGGAGAAACAAACGAAACAGAATCAAACGCGTTTTATCGGATCGCAAACCAGCCCTTTGATGAGGACTGGTTTAATTTTCGTAGATTTCGATGTGCTGAATTCGCGGCTTGAATAGAAATTTTGTGAAGATAATTAACCAGTCAGCTGTGTTTGACGACTGTATTCGTCTATACAGTCGGTCCTATAAATACTCGTACCCTCTATGTCTATTGAAGAAATTTGTTTAAATTGAATGGTAGGTTTGATGTATGTTTGCATGTCCAAGTATATGTTTTCATAAATACGTTGATGTTTATATAAATGTATACATGTGTAAGTACATTGATATACATATTTATAATGAAAAATTCATGGTAATATCAAAACTACCGTTTAATTTAGTCAAACTTTTTCAAATAGACATAGAGGGTACGAATATTTATGGGATTCACTGTAAATAGTTTCCTACGATGTAAACTGGTACATTTTAAAGTAATAGTCAAATATTTTATTTCCACGACTCTAATCATGATAGAAGAAGGTTTAGTCGTCTAAATTGTTAGCTCTCTGTAATGAAACTGTCGTCGAGTGTAAATGGTTAAAGACAGAGAAGACTTGTCTTTTTTCAAGTGATTGAGTACTGTAAATGGACACCCAACGGCACAATTAATATCGAAGATATTTTTCTAAATTAAACGATAGACTCAACGATTCCAAATATATGTCTCGTTATAAATATATATTAGGTCTACCGGAAAGTTCTGTCCGTTTTTAGAATAACACAAAATAGTAAATTTCTCATACCTTGAATTTTCATCGAATAATATAATTTTTATCATTATTTATGACATCTTGTCAGCATGATTGCAATTTGTATGTCGTTTTTAATGAATATGCGCATACTTGTTAAAAACTTGTTGTAACCGAAACGGACAGAACTTCTCGGTAGACCTAATACATGAACAAACTTTGCACATGTGTATAATGAAACATTTATGTGGAAACACCAAACCTGTCATTGAATTTAGTCAAACTTCTTCGATAGATATAGACGGTACGAATATTTATACGATTGACTGTACATGTGACTAACGTATCGATCCATTATTTTGAAACCCCACAACCCCACATATTCACAAAGAAAGCTTTTTAGGTGTCCGCCTCCGATTGTTTTGACTTTTGGATATGTTTTAAAGAACTAAAAAATAAGGTATACGTATTTTTTTATATTGGCTCGTTTTGATATATTAAGAGGTGAAACGACTCCCTAAAGTTTCAGCTGCAATAGGCTATCTCCGAAACTATCATAGATAAAAGAAAACTCTTATAGAAAAAGTTTCATGGTTTCCTATCTGCAATTTTGTAACAAATAATTTGTTTATAATAGTAGCCTATTTGCCTGTCCAAAAATCAAAACAATCGGAGGCGGACACCTAAAAAGCTTTCCTTGTCAGTGTTTCCTTGTCAGTTTATGTAGTCCGTGCCCGAGATCCCGTCTATAGTTTGAAGAATTAGCCGACGACGATTTCTTAAAGATATCACAGACGACTATGTCATTGATTCTGACGACACAGCTGACTGGTTAAACGAAAAGTAACAGCTCGATAATTGTATCGGAAAGAGCTCAAAATCAAATCTAATCGAATATATAATAGAACAAATGTTAATTTTGTTTGATTGCGTGAGCAATGGTTTCGTGGTAAAATTAAGTGGCACTGGAGCCTCAGTGGTACGTGTGAAGGACCTTCAGCACCTCGAAATCTACGAGACACACCAGAAACGTTCAAGGATCAAAAATTCCAACCAACCTCGGTTTGAACCATCGCTGGGCGCTGCGTTCGCAATATTCTGACCGTTTGGAAGATATCGACGAGGCCCTCGTACTGCATACGTTCCAGTACGATGCTGAGCGTGATAAAGACACCGGTTCTTCCGACTCCCGCGCTGCAATGCACGGTGATAGGTCCGTCCTGGCCGAATTGCTCTTTCGTTTTGTGCACCTGCCCGATGAAGTCGATGAATCCGTCGCCCGACTTTGGTACCCCCTGCTCGGGCCAGTCGATGAACTGGAATTGCCTGACCGTGCGACTGGCGCCGTCGCGAGCGTCCGTCACCTTGAACTCCCTTAGAATGTACTGCGGCATGTTGTACTCCGCGATGGGATCGACGACGAAGCACTGATAACGTATCGACCTGTCGGAGGGCCAGTACTGGTGGCACTTCTCCCTGCCCATCTCCTTCAATTTCGTCAACATAACGACGATCGTGGAGTTGTGCTCCCAGAGCATACGCCAAAAGTCGTCGGTAGTGTCGCAGAGAGGTCCCTGAGTCGCTATGTAGGCACCGCGGTAGCGATATCCGTCGATCAGGCTCGCGTTTATGTAGTCCGAGCCCTCGATGTTGCGCTGGGGTTGCAAGCACACTCTGGTGCACTCGTACGGCAGGATGTGTACCAGTCGATTTTTGTGCTTGTTGCACGGCAGGTTCGCCGATATGAAACGCGACGAGTCTACCTTGATGTTGGACAGTTTCTTGAACTCCAGCTCCATGCCGGTTATGTTGACGATCTCCGATTGCATGAGCTTCTGAATGTGGGAGTGAAGGTTTCTGGCGGGCACCTCCGTGTTGCCGCAGATCACCGCCTCATAAAGCGCGTCGTGAATGAATATGTACTGATCCTCGGTCTGCACCATGTAGTTCCTTTGGGCGCGTAGACAAGTTACGTGACCGTATATGTCTATCATTTTCTCGTGCTTGATCCTTTCGAGCATGGAGTCGATGACGATGAAGCAGCCGGTTCTGCCGACGCCGGCGCTGCAGTGGACGATCAATGGTCCGCTTTCCGGTGGATTCAGGGATCGTACTCTGCGCAGGAATTGCAAGAACGGCGCGGGATGTTCGGGTACGCCGTGGTCGGGCCAGGCAGTGAATTGCAGCTGCTTTATCTCGCGTCTCTCCGAGTATCCAGCCCGCGACACTTGGAACGTTCTGATGCAGTATGTAGCCAACTCCTGAACATCGGTGATCGTCACCGTCATCAGACCGTAGGTCTCGGATCCCCTGCACGGCCAATACTGATCGCACTTTATCCTCGCCCTCTCCTCGAGTTTCGTCATCATCACGATCGTGCTAGACCGTAGCTCCCAGCACATTCGCCAAAAATCCCCGAACGTCTCTTGAAGCGGCCCTTGAGTAGCCACGTACGCGTTTTGTTTCCTGTACCCGTCGCAATAGTTGGCGTTTATGTAGTCCGTGCCCGAGATCCCGTCTATAGTTTGAAGGATTACCCTCGAATGATCGTAAGCGATCACGTTCGCGTAACGATTCTTCGAAGTGTTCACTTCTATGTTCGAGTGGTCCCAAGTGAACTGTTGGCCAGGCTCTATCGACTCGTACTCCTGGCTGAACTTCAGATTGTCGTTCGCTTTTAGACACTCGATGTGATTCCCCAAGTCGTTGATGTGAATAGGAGGGTGAGAAATCATGCCGGGCGTTTGGAAATTTAAACGGCGCATCTCTACCGGATCGGACGGGGCGTGATTAGAGCTGATATCGGCGGCCATCAGCGGTCGTGTCACGGCTGCTTGATCGGGTGCTTTGCACGGCTGTCTTCGTCTGAAACGGTTCGGAGAAATTATGTCAAATTGGAGGGTTTGTTTGCGACTCGCAAGGGAACGTTATATCTGTGGGGTCGTGGATTTCCGGGACGATTTAGACGTTCATTTTATAGGTAACAAACATCATAACTCTCAAAGCTTTTCAGACATTGAGCCTTAGCTTTCGTAATATTAATTGTTAAAGTTTATAAAGTTTCGTCATGGGTCTGGTTCAAGCTCTGTGTCGCGACGGACGTTGACTCGTACTACTAGAATTTGCGACGTCGCGTCGTTGGTAGAAACGTGTCACGAAGCAGTTGAGAGGGGTTGAGGATTTACATGAAGATTTAGATGTTTATTATAGGTATAGGTTACAAACGTCATAACCTTCGAAGGTTTCGTGCCATTGGGCATTAGTTTTTGTGATATTAATTGTTAACGTTTATAAAGTTTCGTCATGCGCAAAAAGAGCTTGAATTTAAAGACATACCTACGTTCTAGTATTAATTTCGACGTAAATCACACATATTTTGTCGTATTTATAAAAATTGACCCTGACTTATATTATATAGTTGTAAGTTTGACGACGTTCAAACTTACAACTATATAACCGCACATAATGCTAACGTCACATGACGAACAGCGAGCGTCGGCTGAGAGACGCTCGTTACCGACGTCGCATGGTTGATCAACAACGCTGTGACACATGTACACACGTGCTCATTGTACTTGAGAGTGATATCAATAATAATTGCTTATACCGACAAGTGTGTTGATTCAGGTAGAATCATTAATATTGTTAGGTGATAATTCTTTGTTGTAGGATAAGTTGTATATATATTTGTGTTTTATAATTACAGTATTGTCTCGCTGCTACAACACGTGTCACCTAATTTAACATAATCTACATCCTTCTGACGTTTTTATAAGTTTCTGACTCTGAAACTTATACATAGTCAATGTAAAGTAGTTATAATTAGCGCGCGTCAAACAGATGAAAACGCGTGTTACAGAGGCCCACTGTTGGGCGGCGCTGTTCCTGTTTTAAGCTTGCTTGCTTGCTGTGTGCGCCGCGTGTAGCAATGTAATAAATTATACGTTGATCTCATTTCCTACGTTGACCTTATCATAACCAAGTTTACTTAACAAATATATAACCCATTTATTACTCCTAACTTGTGTGTTTTTTCTTCACTACGCCAACAGTTAATAAAAGAAAAAAAAAACGTCAGATTCACATGCTGTCGGCTTGGTTTCCAATTTCCTCCACGGCAATTTTGTTCCTTTCCTTTTCTTGTTCTTTCATTAACTGTATAATATAAATCAGCGTTAATTTTTATAAATGTGATAAAATATATGCGTGGTTTGCGTTGAAATTAATATCAGAGTGATCTAGCCATTAGGTCAACCGTAATCTCTAGCTATGTCTTTAAACTCGAGCCCTTCCAGCGCATGATGAAACTTTAACTTAAACTATAAATGTTGACAATTAATATTATAAAAACTAAAGCTTTGGTACTTTCTTCGCTATCGTACTTACTTTTTGATGACGAAGAGGAGGACGAGGAAAACGCTGACCAACATCGCCGCTATTATCGGTCCGACCACCCATACCATGCCTGGCTCTTGTCCGTTGGTTTTCGCGATGATCTCTGGATTTCCATCTATCGGAGTGTTCGGGTTAGGTCGTTGCGGCGGTTCACCAGGTGGTGCCACCCTCATATCGAGCGACAGGTACTCGGAGAACGGCGACGAAGTGTACAAATGCTGGAAGATAAAGTTTCGCGTTGAACGGTTCCATTCGCTCCTCTTTCCCGTTCGTCGTTTAACAACCCCCTCTGTACTTTACCTTTCGCGGCGTGTCGACGACGGCACGTACGAAAATTCGATACCGTTTGTTCTTCTCGAGTTTCCGATTTTCATAACCCTCGTATATGTCTCCGCTGCCTAAGTAGAACGTGTACGGAATATCCCTGTGGGGAAACTTGGCCGCGATGTAGGGGGCGTTCTCTCTTTCCTCTTTGGCACCCTTGCCTGCAATGATGGAATTGAGCAGGTAGGTTCAAATACTCATGTGACTACGTGGTACGTTTCACAAAGAATGGGAGAGAATAAATTGTTATTGAATACATATAGTATCGCTCTTCCCAACCGAAGAATAAGGAGTCAAACAACAACAGGAATCGTAGGGTGCGATTGGTCGGTGGTTTTTCGTTAATAATTCAAAAACCAAGCATCATCCGACATTTTTGCAAAGGAAATTGTGGCTCAGAATCGTCTCAGCTACGCTCCATTTCCGGTTCTTACATTAATTCTGGGACACTCTGTATGTAGGAGTCTACACTCAAAATAAATAAAAAACGAACCACCATCTGACATTTTTCCAAAGGAAATTGTGGCTCAAAATCGTCTCAGTGACCACCCTACGCTCCATTTCCGGTTCTTACACTAATTCTGGGACATTAATATCAGAGTGATCTAGCCACTAGGTCAACCGTAATCTCTAGCTATGTCTTTAAACTTGATTCTAATTCTGGTCTAAACTAAAGGCAGGTTCAAATATTAATCGTCTAGGTGGTAAGTTTTGTAAAGGATGGCAGAATATAAATTATTATTGAATACATAAGTAAATGATTGGCATAGAGGGACAGGATTGTCGAGAGATACTCTACTTGGTCATGGTACTTTGACACAATTGCACTGTGGAACCAGGAATGGAATCGTTCTTCAGAAACTATGTAGAAATATGCTTGATCCCTACCTGTGATCATGTCTTCCGTCAGTTCGTCCGGTTGCTTGTCATCCGTCGATTTGTCCTCAGGCACAACGATCAGGTAGTAATGGAAAATTGGTCCGTATTCCTCGGAGGCCTGAGGTAGAATCACTTGAATCTCCTCGCCGTTCACCACTCCGTAGAAGTCCGGCTTGACCATGGGTTTAGGCGCTGCCATTTGGGTGGTGACGGTGATTTTAGCAGGCGGCGTGTACTGTCCGTCTCGTGGCACCGCGCTCACGTTCACGTTGTAAGTGGTGAACGGTTGCAGTTCGTTTATCGTGGTGGTCGTCACGCTGGGATCCAAGAGGATTTGTCTGCGAGGAACGATTTGGGTTTGCGTGATGCCCTGCGAGTCGACGAACTCTTTCACGGAGTCGAAGGACACTTTGTAGTTCATCGGGTTCAGTCTTATAGGCGGTGTCCAGGAGAGGGTCATGGAATGGGTGGACGAGTCGGGCGCCCTTAGATTTAACGGCACATCCTCCGGTTTCACCTTCACGGTCACCTTGTCGCTGAGCCTACCCAAACCAGTTTTGTACTTGGCGGCGACCGTGATCGCGTATTGCGTGAACTTTTCCAAGTTTACGAGATCCGCCGACTCCGTCAGGCCTACGCTTTTTTGCTTCCATTCGTCCAGGTCCTCCACGGCCGTCGTCGTGTAGAATATTTGGTAACCAGTGATCTTTCCGCGGTTAGGCACAGGTTCCCACCAAACTTCCACGCTGGTCTCCGACGTAGCCACAGCTTTCACGGACATCGGTGCCCGTCCTATGTCTTTCTCCGTGATTATCGTGATCTTCTCCGAGTAAGGACCGCTACCTCTCGACGTGTGAGCCCTCACGTGGAACACGTACTCCGTGTTTTCTTCGAGGTTGGTGAAAACAGCCCTCGTCTTGTTCGTGTTCCGATCGATGGTCGTCGAATGGTCGTTCTTTTTATTGAATTGAACGTCGTAACCGATTATCTGACCGTTTCTATGCTTCCGAAGTGGCTCGTCCCACGTCACGCACACCGTGTCCGGGGTTTGAAAGAAGTACGACAGATTCGTCGGCGGTCCAGTGGGTTCGCCCTCGGGGCTGAACCAGTATCGTACTGTTTCTTGGCCGAAACCGATTTCGTTTTGTCCAGCGACCCTAAACTCGTAGTCCACACCCCGTTCTTCTGTGAAATAATCGCGTGAATCAACGAACGCGTGAAACCCCACGGAAAAATTCTTATGCGTGTACTTTTGATTACGTTCGGTTGTCGAAAATAGAACATGAGAACTTGTTTTTTTTTTTTTTTTTTTTTTTTGGAGCAACTAGCGGAAGTACCGTACTCATATCTAAAATAATGTAAAATATTAATTCAAATGCAGTCGTTTTTTTCGACTTGTTAAGTTTTTAAAATGGCATTTACAAATATGATTTTATTCGAAGTATACCGAACATATCGGAGCTTTATTTCGAAACGTTTTACTTGTTTCAATTTATTTTCTGTTTGTTCGAAACGTTTCAATATTATTGCTGAAAATATTGATGGGCAGAGTAGCGTAAGCGATGAACATTTCCAGCGATGTTCTTGCGTTGTGGTATTATTTTTTTTTCTCGACTTGTTTTCATTGTCTAGAAACATTTGGAGGCGGGCGTATTCGATGTACAAAGTTAAACATAGTCTACCTAAATTTTCCTTCTATTTTTAATATTATTTTATTCGAACTATGTAACGTCAGTTATATAAAATAGCGAAATTTCATTCAACTGGGATTCTGCCCGCTGTCCAGGTCAACGATAACACGCCTCAATATGCGTACGCAAGTGTCAAACGATGAGAATAATTGTATTTATCGTCGGTGCGATGTACGCATTGGTTTACTTATGGATTATTTACAATTAATCGCCCGGTGCTATTTACATATCCATTTATTGGATACAGTAGATCCCCTCGTATTCAAACATCCACGAATATTCTAATAATCGTATACAGTCAAGCATGTTTTGTACGGTGGATAGGGACTGCATAAAAAAGAAAACGCAAGAAAATAAAATATTTAGAAACTTCATAAATAGCTATAACAAATAATTCGTCATACCATATTAAAGACATTTCGTTTTTTTATACGGTGGAAAGAGATCGCGTAAAAAAGGTCTCACTTACGAATGTTCATTTTAAGGGAGAACTTATGTCTAAAAATAAAATAGAACTCATAAAAAAAAACTATATCCAAATAGAAAATGTAATTAATTTACCTTTAATCTCGCTTAAAACTTAATCCTATGTTAATGCTCAAAAGATGCGTATGCATGCATTTCGAAGGTCAGTAACTAATGTCAAACCGTACACTATCCGCAATGCAATGGACGACGCGTTCCAAAACAATACGCGATCGTCGTTTCGCTCTCCTTTATTAATAATCGATCGCAGTGTACATGCTCGCGTTCGTTAAATACAAATCTACAGGATCGTATCAGTTTCACGTAACGCACGAAAAAAAATAGCGCAAAACAAATCGCACAAAACAAGACCGCACAGAAAACAGGTTTGACTGTACTCGACAATGCGAGTATGTATTCTGTTTGAAATTGTTCGAAAGATTCGTCGATGGATTTATTTCTGTTTGTCGCTTCAAAGATCGGTGTCCAATTGACTTACCAAGGCCCTCGATTTTGTAGGTGTGCTCTCGCGTTCCTTGGATAAATTCTTCTTTGAGCGTCTGGTTTTTAATTCCGTATCTTATCCTGTAACCCAAAAGGGTGCCGTAGGTTTGCGTAGGCTGCACCCAATCCAACTCGAGCACGTCGGGATCCCTGGACAGAACTCTGAAAACGTTCCGCGTGTTGTTAAACGTGCCCCGGAAAATTCGCGATCATGCAATTGGAACTCCACGTACTTAACGTTAACCTGAGGCCTGTTGGGCACACCTCCAGGTGTTCTGACGTGAACCGGCTGCGAACGATCGCCGTCTCCTTTTCGCGTGAGGGCGGCTACTTGAACCGAGTATCTAGTGTCTGGTTGCAAACCGGTAATGTTCACTTCCAGCACACCGTTTTCGAGCACGTCGCGACGTATGGGTTCGTTCAGGAGATCCTTTCCCTAAAGTAGGCACATCGTGGTCATTAGACATCGCGGTTCTTTTCGTCCACTTTAACGCTAGGTCTACGGAGATTTCTTGTCAGATTTCTATTACTGCAGTTGAACACGTCGTGCATGCTTTAACACGTCGATTGTCAGACTAATAATCGTGAAAATCCGTACGAGGTTGAAATTCTGTTTCTATACAATTAGAAGTGACACAATGTAACATTTGTGGCAGTACTTAATTTTGTGACTTGTTTAGAATTTACCACTCCTATCCGGATTAATTTTCTTTGATACCTCACGTTCAGGATTAATTAATTTAATTCTTCAGTGAAAATCCTTGTCACCTATATACAGGGTGTCCCAAAAATGTTGTAACACCTTGAAAGGGGTGGTTCAGGAGGTGATTTGAAACAACTTTTTCCTTAGCGAAAATGTTGTCCGAGGTTTCGCAGCAAACCTTGGGCATTTTTGGGACACCCTGTATAGGTGACGCGGCGGTCGACATATTAATAAGTGAAGGCGATTTACGAAAATTATTTAGGAGGCTTAGACAAAACTGAATTTGAATATACAGTGGGTGTAGAAAGTGTTCGTACACCGATCAATTTCCTAAAAAACTATGTAAAATTGTAACTTATTAACTTATTCTTTATAAACAATGACATTCTACATATTCTCGGAAATCTCTAGAATAGATAGATTATAAAAAAAATAGCTATTTATGTAAGTTGCGAAATTAACAAGAAAAAAATAATTAATCGATAGAAATGTCGAAGCAATAAGTATTCGCACAACTGTTTAATTTTTACAACTTCATTAAAAAAAAAGAAATTTACATTAATTTACAAGTATATAATATTTCCTTCGTTGGGTTTCTTTTTGATTTTATAATTATTGTAACTTTTCTAAGGATTAAATTAAGTAAATTATTAGTTATTCGAAGTGGGATCTTCTTCAATTCCTTTATTAGAGCCATTGTTAAAATTACTTTACTGGAAATTTGATGTTTTCTAATTCGTACGGAGCAATAAACTAATGTGTTTACGTTACAAACTCTACTGTAAATGGTTCGTCATAAGAATCGTACAAGTACTTATTGCTTCTATACTTTTACCCACTTTTCGCATTTTTTTTTTGTTAATTTCACAAATTATATTAACTAGTAAATGTTGTTTGGACTATATCTATCTTAGACATTCCCGAGAATATGTAAAATATCATTGATTATAAAAAAAGAAGTTAAGAAACTACAATTTCACACAAATTTTGGGGTGAAATTGATCAGTGTACGAATACATTCTACACCCACTGTATGCTTGTGTCTTCATATGAATAAAAGTCGGCATAAGGAGTTGGCGAAAAGTGTAAACGGTTTCTGTAAAACCCTGCGGATTTTCGAATGGGTCAAAACGACTCCGTAAACCTAGTTTTAATCGCGTTCGGGTCGTTTCGCGCCAAGTCGATTATTTTCGAACTCTAATTTAGGATTTCGTTCTCTGTGAAACTGACCTCTTCCCTCACTTCCTGAACGTGTATATGGTACCCTCTTATCACGCCGTTTTGTTCTTGCGACTTCGGAGGTTTCCATTCGACGTGTATCGCGGTCGAGTTGATTGGCGTAGCTTTCACGTCCTGAGGATCTCCCGGCACTGGAACGCAACGAAAAGTTAACGCGTGCACTTTACGCCACGACGTGTGTCACACTCACAGTCGCACGCTCACTTACACATAGTCGCAATCGCACGTGAAGGGGGGTTGGGGGATTAAATAATATCGTAACCTGGAAAACTTATTGAATAAAAAATATTAAACGTTTATCAAAGAAAACAAACGACGGGTTGTAATCTGTCCGACGAATTGAAAAAGCGATTAAGAATAAAAGTACCGAGATAGAAACAGAATGCAAAGAATAATGCGTGACGTTTGTTACGCTGAGTGCCGATCGAATTATCAACGAACAAGTATGTAAGTGTAAATTATTGCGATCAAAAATGTAAATGTAGACTGGAATCGGTTGTAATTTAATTACCAAGTAGATAGTAGAATCATTTAGTGGTGTATTTATTACTAAAAAGTATTTCCAAAGATATCGATGTGATTCGAAAGATTTCAAGTTTCGAGAAAGTGTCTCTCGAGTTTGAGGAAAGTGTCGTGGCACTCGACGTGTTGAGCGGTTGTTCGTCGGTCAGTCGATGGGTCGTCAACAAAAGCGGACAGAGTATAATGAATCGTTACGGCAAGAAGAAGTCAAAGCGTCATCGTATAGAAAGAAACGAAAAGATTGTGAAAAATATCGAATGCATCGCGTTTAAAGAAACGTAAGTGAAAACCATAAACGTATGCGAAACGACGAAAGAGGAATAATTAAAGAGAAAGTAATGGTGAATATGTACATGCTACCAATCACACACGGACAAAACGACGTACAAACAATATTACGAGGTACGCCGGAGGGGTACCTCATGCTCTACGTCCCTACGGCACGATATAATCCTCCATTTGAATACCAATAATGTATGTTTTTATTCTGCATTCGGTTTGAAAACGCGTATGTATGAACGGCCCGTATAATACGTCATCGGGATGCAAGCGCGCGGTTACGTTTGGACGATAACGCTACGGCAATATTGGAGAGTCCATGACGAGAAACGAAGCAGTTTTGTATATATACACGTATAATATGTGCGATCTACGATCATTGGTGCTTGGACGTGGATGAAACTTGTGCCAACAGAATCTCGTGCATTTGTGGGATTTTCTTTTCCTTTTTTAATTATTATTCCTTTTATTCATTTTTGTATTCGTTAAACGTGCAAGGACAACAAAATGTATCCCCCGTGTATTTACAGTTACCCCATGTCGACAACAAGCCGCCCCGATAATTTGTCGCGCGAGAAACGTTACCGCATGGTTTCCCTCTTCTATTATTTTTTAGTCGTTTCAACGAGTTTTCAAAGCCGTTTCGACGTTTCCCCTTTCTATTCGTCGTTTTCCCTCTGGATCCCGTTTTCTATGTTTTACACATTTCTGCCAACTTTTTTTGCCTTTTTTTCGTTCTTCTCTCTTTTTTTTTCTCTCAAAATCGATGCTCTATCCCTGTCGCGTGCGCGCGCGGATTCTGATTGGCGATCGACGCATGTACCTCATGGACGGTCCAGTATGCGACGTCGGAAATGTTACGCGGCATTACGCAGAAACGAAAAGGAAACCAAGTGAAAATGACAAGAACGAAACCAGTATCGGTAGGTGAAGAAGTGAACGAAAAATGGGAACGCAAAAGAACTCTCTTTTTTTTTTTTTTAAGGCATTGTCTACGTAGTATACTGCAATAACTGCAACTCTCTACGTAAGTTAACGGAAAACGAAAAAATGCGTTGCAAGGATGATTACGACACAAAGAAAATGCCAAAACGATCGCTGTTGCAACGTCGCTCGATCAAGCGATAGCCCCGCGATTCTATGCATCGACGCGATCGTTTCTAAACGCGCCATCGATTACACCCACAAATATTCGCCGTTAAGCGCAAAAAAATCAAAAACATGGCGAGCGCGCAGTCGCAAGGCGTTACACGCGAGAGCACAGGTTTCGCGTTTATAAATCGTACATATTTGCCGAGCAGCGAAAAAAAGATTGTGGGTGTTGAAAAAAAAAGTGACATCTCCAAAATGGTCTCTTTCTCGCAGACGTAAAAAGGTGTTAGAAAAACACAAACGGAGATTTAAAAAAAAAAAAAAAGAAAAAACAGACGATTATGCGAACGAGACGGAAAAAATGAAAAACTATACAGAGAAAACGATATTAAATATAGGAAGAAAATTCATGGCACAACTCGAGACGAGCTAAGAGATACTCACATTTTACAGCTGCGCCCCAAAAGTCGCCAAAAAAGTGGGAAAAAAAACTCGTAAAAATTCGTGTCAATTTCGCACGTATATTGAGTAGAATTATATAAAATATTTAGTATGTTTAGGCATATCAGTGGGTAGCATACTACTGATTATTTAATCAACGTCAACATTGCCTCTTTTTTTTACGGCTATTCGTTTATATCGTTTTGACTTAGGACAAAAAAAAAATATATATATACTTTTCTCTTTTTTTTTCTCTTTTTTTCTCTATGAACGTCTGTTCTGTTTCTCTTGTCGAAACACGCACACGCGCACTCGCTCGTTCAGTTCGTTCCCTCCCTCCCACGCGCTCGTTTCCAATCGTATCCATCCCCTGCGCTGTTTCGTAATATTTTTTATATTGGCTCTGGCCGAGGAACGTCGGTGGACAAAATTCTCTTTCGAATCGATCGTTAAATAGAAAAATATCGCTTGGTCCTCGGTTGCAGTTGGTCGCAGAGAGGCGGGAGATGTGAGAATATACCTTTTTTTTTTTTCTTTTGGCATGCGCAATCACTACTCCAAATATGAAATAACTAAAGGCTCATGTCCACCTGCCCCCTGCCGCCGAGAGAAAGACTTCTCGTTTGTTTTCGTCTATCACGAAACCAGAGTTTTCCTTTCCTTCGTGCGAGAAATGATCTTAATGATATATGACAAGGATCCGAGGCGTATCGCTACCTCAACCCCCAGGAAAAAACAAACCAATTTGCGCGGAGAATCGTCAACATGGAAACTGGAATAGTATGGAAAGCTGAAATTCGTTTACCTGGGAAAATATTGGACAACGATGTCGCATTAGAATCGATTGTTTATCAATGTCGATATTCTCCCTTCGATCCTAACAGAGATATTTAGGCGTCCCTTGTCCAGGACTTTAAAACGTAACGCGAGATTTAGCTAGTAGTGTACCTTAGGTAGTTTCCACGTTAAAAATTCTCCAAGGTCGATCTGTTTTCGGGGGTGGTTCGAGGTAGCCGCAAGCCTCGAGCGAACCAAAAGGAAAACGAAAGAATAAAGGCGCGTTTGCGTTCTTTCCCTCGCGGCACGAGGCGTCGAGAGGGAAGACCTATGATAAAATGTCTACTGAAAAGAAAGCTAGGAAGGATAAAAAACCATAAGATGTAAGAAGAAGGGATTCTGCTGGGGACTCGTGTGGTTCGGGACAGGGACGGGCAAGAGCTCATCGTAGACCGAGAACGAAGTACAATCAACATACAACAATTCGCTTGTTCGATCGAACAGCTCGATTCTTATTTGTTCATCACGAAATCTTTCATTCCGTTATTGGAATTCCGAGTTTCCCTTAACGTGTTACGGATAAACGGTTTATCTTTTGTTCGTTAACATCGAGCCGCGCGCGAATTTTGCCCATCCCTGGTTCGGGACGAATGAACCGAAAGGATTTTCCGTGTGTTGCTACGAGTATTGTCGTCTAAAGAGATCAAGATGAGTCGTGATAGAAAAAATTCGCGGATGCGCCGTCTTCTCCTCGTGTATCTAACGTAAAAACTCACGAATAAAAGATGAGGATACGAGGCGGAAGAATGTCTTCGAGGGAAAAATTGTTCTGCGTCGTTTTTCTATTTTTTATTCTTCCCCACCTTGCTTTTTTCTTCGGTTTCGCCACGCCAAAAAGTCACCCGCAAAAAACGTAGCCTGGGAGGTGATTTTTCGAGTGAAATGCAAAGGGACGTAATTTTCGTCGGATACGGTGAAAAATATATCCGTATCCTTTTTCCTCCCTTTTTCTGTTTCAACTAGCAGCATCCACCCGCGCCATTCATCCACGCAAAAATCACAAAATTCGTCGCAAAATAACGCACGTAGATGTGGCTGCGAAACGTAACGCGTGTCGTTTGGATCGGTCGGATCGAGCGTGCACGATACGCGATGTATATTCGGATATCGGATTGCTTTTTATTCTTTTTTTCTTTCGATTTTTGGTCTCGTCGAAGGCAGCTAGCGGATCGAGTTCGAAGGAGTCTAGAAGGGAAGAAAGATAGCATGCGTTCGTCAGGGATTTTTTGGTTTAATAGAAAAGAAAAAAGAAACGGAGCAGAGGGTCTGTGTTAGGGGTCGTCAATGATCGAAGTTCTCGATATTCTGACGTTACAAGCTACGTATACGTAAAAGAAAAAGACATGACTTTAACCGCAAGTCGTTAAGAGATATCAGATACAAACGTAAAGAGACATACATGTACAAGTGTAATACACTCTTTTTCTAGATACCTAGGAGAATATGTAACAAGTATTAATAATACACGATACAAAATATGTAATACGTAGATACGTAAATAGAATATATCATACGTAAGAATACAAAGAACGTATTATACATATCGAGTAAAAATAGTAATTCATATAATATCAAAGATATGATGTTTAACTTACAGAGACAGAAGATGGAGAAATGGGTCTGGTGTTGTTGGCATGCAGAGAACGAAGGTGCACGTATAGACAATATATAAAGAAGGGTTGGTGTCAGTGATATCATTCCAACGAGCTGGGTGAGTGTACAAAAAAAAAAAAGAAAAAGAAATATTAACGAAATTCCGCGTTAACGATTCGTCAGGTGTTTGGTATCGACCCGAGAGAGTACGTCTTTGGGGAACACGTTGATCGCTTCTTCGAGATGGTCTTCGTTAATTGTTGGTCGAGGGAGAGAACGTGTCAAATGTATAACTAACCTTTTTTTTCCCCGTGGAAGCTTTCGTCATCGACGACTCCCCGGATCGAGAAACCGAAATACCTTTGCTTTGCCACGGACTCGTGGCTGTCGAATAAACGGATGAAGATAACGAAGAAGATCGTATGGATATTGGTATTCAAATGTTTCAAAGTAAACGTCTCCGCGCGGTACTTCCCCTGCCCCGCGACACGATTGCGTTGTGCTGCTCGTCGTCCGATTACGTTCGCGCTCGAAATGCAGTGACGAGCTTACACCTGTAACCGGCGAGTGTTTCTCTAGAAAATGATAGTTGAGTTGATATTAAAGTAAATATTCTATAACGATAATTACTATAGAGCAAGACATATAGAATGATATACAACGTAAAACTCGAGTAGAAAGAAGGAAAATTAATTCCAAATTATTATTCATCACATTTTGCAACGATGTTATATCGAGACCCCTAGGATCGATTACACATCGATCACAGTAAAAATACCTAAATAGCTTGGGAATTTTACGCATTTATGGCCCAGACGATTGTAAAAATCATCCAAAATGCACCCAGGACACTTACACGAAATATAAGCGTTAATCAACGTACACTTTGCATGCGATTTCCACGACATCCGCCACAACTGCATCAAATCTACCCCTAATCTAGCCCATCCTGCGTTGGAAATTATCATTTTCTAGAAAAGCCCTTCGCTCGGTTTCGCGTTGGCTCCTCGCTGCGATATGAAACGCATTCGTCCAAGTGCCTCGCGATCGTAGCCTCGATAGCTCGAACTGTTCGTGCTACGAGATCTTGCTTTCCTCGTCCTCCCACGGTTTTCTGACGCGTCGTTTGCTCTTGCATCTTCTCTTTTACCCACTCGCTCACACATTCACGCGGCCGCCCCCGGCTCGTCGCGATCTCGACGCGATACGCGCTGCCACGCGTCCGTCGTGATCCATGAAAGTGATCGATAGACGTATTAATACCCCGACGGGATCGACGGTGGCGCGTGAAAGACTCGCGCTCGGTTCGAGATCACCTCGAGAAAGGTGCGGAATCATGTTGCACGACAATCGGCGGTGGGGGGTGCTTTTCGTGGGTGCTTTCAGTGCTGGTGCTCGGCACGATACATCGCATCGACTATCCCGACGACAATTGATATTTAGACACGCGTATAGATACACACAGGCACACGTGTACGTGTACGTGTGCGTGTACGTTACGCTTGATACCGCGGACGTCGAGCGAGTAAATATCGGGTGCGCATATAGTCGCTCGCGCGAGTACGCACGAACGAGTCGACTTCGTAAATACGCGCGCACACACATTCTCACCCACGCACACGACCTAGGTGCATGCGTGCACGCGAGTGCCTTTAGGCTGTTGGCTGTTTACTCGAAGCGATGGGTGCTTTTCAAGTAGTGCGTGATAGTGGTAGGCAATATAATATAAATAGATAGATGGACGTATATTCTACTGAGTATATAATACGGTGAATAAAGGCGTGCGTCTGCGTGTGGCTCTCTGTGCGTAGGTGCGTAAATACTCGTCCTTCTCCTTTCTACGCTCTTCTTTTTTTCTCTCTTTTTTTTTTAAATCATCGTGCGCGACACGCGTGTGCGACTTTACATGCGTGCGTGGTGGGTGCGAGAATCGAAAACGGTGCCCCGTGGAATGAAAGAGAAAAAAAATAAAAGGAAATAATACTCATTACTCGCGGGGGTGCCCCGTGCACACACTCATAGTGATGCTGATAGAAAAATGATATATATACGTAGATCGGCAATACGTTTAGAATAATATAATTATACTAGTGGTGGTGGTACTAGCGGCGACAAGTAACAATAACGGACGAGTATACGTATACACGACGGTGAACTTTTGTGCTTGACAATGTGCGAGCTTACACGGCAGGGTGCTTTCAGCAGTGCTTTTTATCGTTCCGCCTCGCTTTGCCGAGTCTGCTCTTAGAGGGTGGACGGCTGGATCGGTGTGTCCGTGAACGGGACAATGCATGAGGGGTGGGAAAACTCGGGAGTTCGAGGAGGGTGCGGGCGGTGACGATAGCGGCGGTAGCGCGCGTCGGTGCCGGTGAAACGAAAGAGGATCCCGGGCGTTACGCGGTGCCGAGTGCAAAAGGTTCGAGGGGAACGTCGTTAGAGACACGTCCCGCGCCGACTTTTCCCGCGACAATGACGCCTCGACAATGCTCTTCGCAACAAATGATTCCGATTTCGCGTCCAACCAAGGTCTTCGATTATTTTTCGAGACAAAAGAACCGACGACAGCCGGCTGCCTTTCTCCTGGCGATTCTACGCGTTTGTTCTCGATTCGCCGCGTCGTTCGGTCCGCGTGTTTTCGAACTGGAGGAAAAGCGTATCGCGGGTGTATCGATGTTAACGCGGCCGTATCTGGTTCGGTACGAGTAACGCTCGCACGGTCGATCGTCTATCGGTGCTTTTCTCTGTTTCGAGGAGATTAGACGAGAGTGGCGGTGGGGGCGGTTCAGACGGGGTGATAAAAGAAAGAAATGTTTGTCCATGCAGGTTTCGTCGAGGTATGGTAGGAAGAAGACGAAACGGAAAGCAAAAATTTCATCATGCATCGGCATGCCATTCATCGGATACCCGGGATTAATCGTGGTTTCTTTTTGGAGGGTTTGGCGGGGACTTGGTTACGCAGACTCGGCGTAGCTCGACGGTATGTTTTCTCGGGGTGGTTTTTGGCGGGGAGCTTCGTTGTGGAACGGAGTCTGGGGGGCGGGCTCGGTGGATGACGGTTGGCGTGGGTTCGAGACAATGATCGTCTTCGGGGAAGAGAGAGATCGGTGAAATCGGAGGAATCGTTAAACAAACGAAGGCATGCTCTAAACATGTGCAAACAATAGGTAGAACTAAATCTTAACTAAAGACAGAAGAGCCTTATATATCAGAGATATAGAAATATATATACATATATATATATGATGTGTACTGTAATATATGTATATATGTATATAGTGAAAAAAGTGCGTTATATATATATATATATTTTTTGTGTGTGATACATACGCTATAGTTTTTATATATATACGTAAGCGTTTCACTGGCAAGCTGCCGCCCTTTCTCTACACAGTCATTATTTCCAACCGATAAAACTTTTTCGCGACCGACCGAATTTGTAATTTCACGTGATGGCTCGCCGCAACAACCGTTCTCGTAAATGTTTTCCGTTTTTCCTTTAATTTTTCTCTTGTTTCTTTTTTTTTTTGTTTTGTTGTTTATTATTGTAATTGCAACGGCGAAAATAATGCTGCGGAGGATACATCGGGACGGTCAGCTTGGTCTCTATCTCCATAACACGTGGCAAGAGTGAGTCAACGAACTAAAGAGAGAAACGAAACATCTTTACTGACGAAACCACGGTAACCACCAGAAAGAACATTGAGCGTGAATGTGTACATATCATTAGACAGTCGATATAATACGTTAGTGCGAATAAATCTTAAAAACTAGCTGTTCAAAACCTGGATCATCCTCCTGCAAATGCTTTAAGGAAAGACAAAAACACGTGAGTGAGTATAATTAAAAGTATTAGTTAGCGTGTTAAATTGGGTATCCAAGTTTCAAAAGTAGGGGGCTCGGGGGGTTACAAAAAAAAAACCAACGGCAACGAACAAAGGGAGAGTTGCGATTAGGCCCTGTAAAAATAGTTAGAAAATACGGTTTTTCTTTTGCAAATTTATATTGTGATTAGTTCTTTTTTTTTTCTTTTTTAATTTGCAAATATAGCTGAGCTCAAAAATCGGTTATCAGCTTCTGAAAAATCCGTGGCTGCGTGCACCTGGAAAAAATGTCTGGACACACTAACAGGGGGGTTCCAGGGGGCTCGGGGGAAATCGTCAAAGAGGGGGGGGGGGGTGGTGTCTTCGGGAGCACAGAATAATCCGTGGAGAATTGTTGTCGCAAAAATCCCAAAAATATAAAATCTCGCCAGCCAAAAAAGTAGGGCCAACATGATTTTCGCGTCCACGTCGCGTAGGTGCCCGCGTCCCGTCGCAAAAAAAGTGGGAAATCGGGGGGTTTGTGCCAGAGAAGCGATAGGAGAGCGATATGGACCAGCTTTAAAAAGGAGAGAATCGCGAAAAAAGTTGTGCGCGTTCAAAAGTTGCGTTCGCGCGACAAAAATCAACATTAGTTTAGCAATCGAAAAAAAAGGGCCGCGTTTCGTACGTGTTGTTGTTTATTGTTCGCTTATTTTTTTTTTCTGTTCGCGTCCAATGATGACTCGACAGTTCGTTTCTCGAAAGCGTTAACTGAAAGATCGCAATAGGTGACCTTAGAGGGAGAAAAGCTTTACGTATCTGTACAATGTTATACGAGTCGAGTGAGATTCAAATGGAATAGAATACAACGATAATAATGTAATATGTAACGGCGAACACAGGAAAAGTAACAATGTCGAAGAGAAAAATTAGTCTATAGAGAAAACGATAGATAGAGAGATAGTGAGAGAAAGAGAAAGACAGAGACAAGAGTGAAACGAAAAATCGTAAACAGGGATAGAGTGTTGAGTGTCGGTTAGGAAGAGAGACAGGTTCGAAGAGACGTTAGCGGAATCTGAAATCGAAAATACATTTAATATATGTACGTGTAATTGAACGGTAGACCGAATATGAATATCACCGGCTCGAGATAACAGGGCGTGTCATCGCAACCCGCACTGGAATTGCGCGATTATCTTCGAACTGATTTTTGGCGGGCTTTTATATTTTTGGCTCTTGCGCGACGAACTATAATCTGTATCGCGATACGTCGCCTTCGCAAGAGTATCTTTATACGCGAAGCGTGGCGCTTGAAGTTCTATCGGATCATTCGTCGACGGTAATCGAACGTTTCGAATCAAGAAAATTATTTCCGAATTTCTTTTTCCATCGACCGATTTTCTCTTCGGATGTTGCTTGAATCGTTCGCGCGGCACGTGTGAAATTATGAAACGTTCGTGGTGAACACGGTGTCCCTGACGGTCGCGGTTTCATGCGCCACTCTTCGGGCAGCTTCATGAAAACGTAGAAGGGTTGTTAAGTTAACGTCAGTGATACATACCGTCCTCGTGAGTTCTGATCGTGATAGGATAACTCGGAGGTCCGTCACCTACGCTGGTCCCGGCCAATACCCAAATCCGGTACTCGGTCCACTTTTTCAGTTCGTCCAACGTAAATTTCGTGTCATTCAGTTTGATAGATATCGCCTCCGAGTCGGAGCGTCCGCTCTCGACGACTTGCAGCCTGTAGTACGCGATCCTCCCGTTCGATCGATCGGCAGGCGGGGGTTCCCATGTTACCAATATGGAGGTCGGGCTGATCGCTTCTCCGCTTACATTGCGAGGCGGAGCCCCGGGGACTGTATAACACTCAGTTATAGGGGGGAAAAACAAAACGAAAACGTGGTAGGGAAATCGTCAGCCATCGGACGATCGTGGCGAACTTCGGTCCTGAGTCTACAATCGAATGTCTGCGAGAATTCGTTACGACCGTCATCTTCGATTCGTCGCGATATCTGCTAACCAGCCTCGGTTACCGTCTATTCTCAACTGTTACTCGTTCTTAAGAAAACGAGCCGTTTGGGCGCACTTGCTAACGATACGCAGAGATTAACGTCACCCGCGTAAACTAATCGAAATTTTTTAAATGGCAGTCGAGAACGAATCGTCGCGTGTTCGAGTTGGAGTAACTCGGTGAGCTTCGAAGCCAGGCCACGTTCGAACCTGACTAACGTCGTGGAAAGAACTAAAAACATTACGTGACGATTGGTCAAGGTTCAGAGCGATGAATATCACTCAAGGAAAAACTCATAAGTCGATCCTTGAACAGTCGAAAAAGTACGTGATTAGAGATAACAAAAATTTGTAGGCCGTTGGAACGAGCGGTTAACCTCGCGCGCTTTACGCGCGGCCGGTCAACGTCGTTTTGCGTGCCTTACGTCGCAAGGAAAACGAGACAATGAAAAAACTGAAGAACGGACGTGTATATAAACCATACGTTATCGAGAATGAAAAGAGGTGCCCAAAATGCACACATATATCAATGCAGTGCTTAGTGCAATTTATATGTATGATATGTACGTATATATATATAGAGATATATATATAAAGTGGCATCCAAAAACGGCTTTCTTATTTGCAACGCATGCAATCATTCTCACTCTCCCACACTTCACGGTTCAACGATACTCTCTATCACCGTAATTCTCTTTTGTATCTTTTCTTCTTTTCTTTTTTCCCCCTTTTTAACCCCACACCCCTCCCCGCGTTCAATGAATTCACGGTGCGGATTACCTTTACCCCGTGTTACAACCGATTCTTCCTAAGGTGTCGCGCAATGATAGCTTACGCTACTTGCAGGAGCGTCTAGCGCTACGGCACGTCCCTACCTGCTGTGCCAGAACGATCCGCGATCGACCCCTGTAGCATTCATGGAATCTCGAGCATTCGCGTGCCTTTGGTTTCGTCCTCGTCGTGCTACAGGACGATCGCGAATCGACCTCTCTACGGCACTCCTCGCTGCGTGAACTCACTTCTCCCTTTTCGTACTGTTCTGCTGGTTGCTTGGTTATCTGCTTACCGTACGGTTTCGTGCGAACCGGATATGGAATCGTCGTCGCTCCCTCGCCTCTCTGACTCCTCGCGGCCAACCAGACGTAGTACAGCGTGTTAGGGTAGAGGCCCGTCAGGGTGTAGTTCTCGGTGACCGGTATCCTTCGATGATGCTTCTCCTGAAAGTAACGAGTTTCGATTGACACATCGTTCACCGGCAATTTTACATAGAACCGACTTCGCGTCACCGTGTATTATTTCGTAATTGAATGCGATATGAACCTTTTTAATTCAACTACTGGTGTAAGTAGGCTACTCATTCTTTTTCTTTTTTGTTTATACAAGGTGTCTACGTATAAGTTCGGACATACGCAGGGTGTCAATTCTACAACAACTTTCCAACAAAGAATTGCTCTTCGACATTTTCTTTGTGTCGCCTTATTCTCGAGAATTTTCACTTTTAATATTTTCTCTGCGTCTTCGACTTGACACTATTTAAACGGCCATAATTCCACCAAATTATAGTGCAAACTTAAAAGTAAGTATACCATTCGAAAGAGCATTAAATTTCCCAACTCCCTCATACAAAACCACAATTTATTACGAAGATTGAATACTAGAAAAATCAGGTCAAACTTTACATTGTGACAATTTCAACAAATTTGACTTTTTCTGTATTCGTTTTTTGGGTTTCAAAGACATAGTTGTTTGGCGGGCACTCTTCGGGAAAAAACATCCTCGAAGTCTCAGCTTTTGAACGGTATTTTCAAAAAAATATTGTACGGTGGTATTGTAGGGAGAAAATGACGAAATCACAGTCAAGTCGAAATCACAGAAAAAATATTAAAAATGAAAATACTCGAGAATAAGGCGACACAAAGAAAATGTCTAAGAGTAATTTTTTGTTGAAAATTTGTTGTAGAATTGACACCCCGCGTATGTCCGAACTTATACGTAGATACCCTGTATATATTTTATACACACTCGAGTCAACTGGCTAAATCATTCCTACCTTTGCATAAGTATCGTTCCAATATAGCTCATAGCTGAGGATATTTTCCGCGCTATGAGTTGGCTTACTCCATTGGAGCGTTACTTTGGTCTCCCCGGTGTCTACCGCCGTCAACATTTCCGGTTGACTCGGTACCCCTTGTTGCGTCTTTATTTGAACGGGCAGGCTCAGTGGACCAGGGCCAACGCTCGTTAGCGCTTGCACTCGTATCGTGTAGATTGTGTGAGGCGTCAAGTCCGAGATGGTAGTCAGCTCGTTATTGTCCACCATCTGATATTCCCACGACGCCATCGGCTGATTCGAATCCTTCGTGTAGTACACTTTGTATCCCTGGAATAATCGTTTAACGCTGTGAACTATGTTTCGATTCTTGAACAGGTTCGATTCGTGAAAGGTTTTTTTCATTAAGGAACTAGAAAGAGTAATTCGAAAAGCGAGGCGATAGCGAAAATAAATTTGAATTTGGAGAGGTTGTACAATTAAATACAACAAACCTTAACTTATCTGATCTTCAACAGTCTCGATACAAAATTTTAACTTCGCAGAAATTTTTACGAATTTTAGTCTGACAATTAACGTGTTAATTTGACTACTACGAGGAACAAAGCCGAGGATGAATTTTAATTCGATTCCAAACGAAAAACCAACCGTCACTTGTCCGTTCGGTGTTTCCGGCTCGTCCCACTGTATGACCATCGTGCTGGAACTCAATGGTCGGGCCTGAAGCTTCCGCGGCGCAGTACCAGGTTCTAGAACGAAGAGAGCATTTTGGATACTCGTTGAAACGCGTTCCCCGTGCGGGACAAGCCAATTCTAGTTAGTCACGGGACAGGAGGAGAGTACAAGTGGTAAAACCCGAAGAAAAGTATACCATAAGAACCAAAAGAAACACTCGTTCCAGGTAAACAAATAAAAAGAAGTGAGGAACAAACCATGGGCCTCTACTACGATGTCCTGGTGGGGTATCGTGACTACGGTGTAATTTTGTGACGAGAAAATAAAAATATACCACAGGTGTGTCGCATTGCAGGTGATTAGCTACAAGTACATAATCGTTTTAATGATACACATATGAACGTGTGCGAATGAGCGATGATCGTGTGTATGCGTGCTTCGAGTATACAAAAGAGGATGGGATATGAACGAAAAATGAAATGGAACGAGACGAGATAAAACAAAAATAAAAATAAAAATGAACATCACGAATAGAAAATTAAGAAAAAAAAAAGTAAAATAAAGGATGAGCTATACTGCTACAGCACTCTTAGTATATGGTTGAACTTACTGGCACCTCCATTTGTCGATTCCGCTATTGAAAAAAATGAATGGAACGATTATTCTCTCGGTAAGCATCGGTTATAAATAGCATTATGCACGAGTGAAAATACGAATTCGCGGGACTGCGGTCTGCGGCCGTTTTCGTATTTTCACGAGGTGTAAAGAGTGCGACACTATATATCCAGGAAAGGTGCAATTTCGCGTGCTGTCTCTCCGCGTATTGGTTTTTCTCTCTTTTTTTTTCTCCGTGGGTTTTAAAAAAAAGAAGAGACGGAGAGACGTTGGTGGTAGATAGTAGGGGGTTCGGGCTGGGGAGCGACAGAGACGGAAAAATACAGAGCGAAAACGAGACGTCGAAGCCCGCGACGCGCCGAATACGGTCCGACAAAAAACACTAATACATGGTGCAACACAGAGAAAGGGGGATGATTTTGGTGATAGGTAGTACAAAAAAAACTTTCTTGTCACTTACATGAATCAAATCGTGCGTCCACGGCGGACAGCATGGAAAAAAAGGTATAGTTTCCCTCAAAAAACGTGTCAAAACTTGTTCATCCATCGTGGTGCAAAAATGTTTATCTACGTGCAAAAATCGTACGCGTACGTCAGCTACCCTTAATAAGCTATCCTTCTCGCTTCCTTTTTTTTTTCTTTTTCACCTGGCGGGGTAAAACCCGTGCCCGCTCGGTGCTGCTTCTTCTTTTCATCTCTACAGAGTGCACTCGCCGGCTCGCGTGTTTCACGAGATGTACGAATGAAATGCGAATTATACGTTTCAAAATAACCGCAACGACGAACAACGTTCATAGTTCGCATTTCGCACGATGCAAGATTTGTTCGAGATGCACCACCACGATCCACGGCGGAGGTATTTGCATTAAAAGTCCCGACTGATAGTCCGTTTTCAAAAGTGCAAAAATATTTCCTTGCGACGGAGGTCACTAATTCCGCGCTTCGAAGCGTACAAGTTTGCTCAAAGTTGACAATTTCGGGAGTTTTTTGGTTCGAGTTTTGCAGCGTTTAGGATCGTTTTTTCTCGGTTGAAATTGTCCGAAAGCAGTTGCCTCTGGGATTATCAACTTTAGACGGACTCGAGCGTTTTCAAAGCGAGCTTTCCCCACCGTGGATCGGTTGGATCGTTCTGCTTGCAACTACGTAAGCGCTATAGCCGTCTCGAAAGAACCCCATAAATGATGTGGCGAGGTGTTTCGCGTGGATTCTGGCGAAGCAAGTATGCTCCTGAAAAAGCCTGGATCGTAACCGAATCGACGAGACGTTCGCGGATCAGACGAGGCGAATCGACGTCGTCGACGCTAACGGAAGGAAAGAGAAATAAATTATTATCGCAAAGTGTACTGACTCGTCTCGCCAGTGGTGACAGTCACCGGGGCACTCGGGGGACCACGCCCAATGGCGTTCACCGCTATCACGTAGAGCTCGTACTCCGTGTAAGGGCTGAGACTCCGGACATGGTAGTACATCGTCGTGATTCCCGATATCTCGGCGAATGCTTGGTTCACGTGCTTCGGTTTGTGCTGGATCACGTAGTATTGCAGCTCGTCGGAACCCTTGTACGACCAGGTGAGCTTCACGGAAGTAGCGGTGATGTCCGAGACTTGAACGTTCTCTGGGGGACTCGGCAGAGCTGAAAAATTCACGACGCCAAAGGTTTTGAGCGTGCAACTTTTACTTATGGCTCGCGATAACACTGAAACGCCACGGTTCGCCTTAACTTACGGGTCATTATCGCGTCGAATCGACCACTTTCCTACCTGGATGTCCCAGGGACATCAACGATATTGAAATATATGGTGGTACGTATGAAATTATGGAGGGTTTAAGTCATCATTTTGTAAATAGGCCAGTATATTGGACTTCCATGGCGTGGCATTTCAGGGCTACCTTTGACAGAGCGGGCGAGCATCGAACGAAATTTTGATCAGCACAGCCAGGAAAACGGTGGTTTCACGAGAACAAACAGAGCAAGGAAATGAACAAAGTGCATTGTCCTTAATCTCCCAGCGCGACGCGCAAGTCGATTAATTGATTAGTCATCGAAACAGCACTACGCGCGCCACGGCTCGTGGAACACAACGAACGTGATTGATCGTTCTACATTACGTAGTCCGTTAGCCCGCTAATGCGATCTCTGTGGATTTACGCGCGATTTCGATCCATCTGGATACGAACATTGAACTTTCACCATCGAGGTGGCTTCTATTACTCCGAGGTCGCTGGCGGCCGTGCAGGTGTAGTTGGCGGACTCCTGGATCTTGGTGAGCATCAGGACGTTCCTACCGACAGGCAGATTGTCGTCGGGCGTCAAATCGGTAGCTGGGTCCTTCCTCCACTTGACGAATGGCATCGGGGAGCCGACTGCCACGCAGGTTAGGTTCAGGGATGCTCCTAGCATCACCTCGCTCACCTCCGGCGGAGGAATGGAGAACTTGGGTGTCACACGACGAACTGGGCACAAACCATTATTTTTACCATTCTATATCAGCGATAAACAGCGGAGGTTCGCTGCTCGAGACCGATGCGTTGCCCTCAGGGGCTGTAGCATACGTGTACGCAACTACAATACGGGCTCAGCGATCCCGAGATACCCGAGCTATAGGAGAGCTAGCAGCAGTGCTGGCCATAATCGTAAACATAATTACGATTACGATTGTAATCAAATGTTTCAGAGTTGTGATTACGATTACGATTGCAATCAAATGTTTCAGAGTTGTGATTACGATCGTATTTTCAGGTGTTTTCGGATATAGAAATTTTATACCTCAAAACCGACTTCAGATTCGTGTTCCTCACTCCCCCCCCCCTCCCCACAAAAAAAACTTGGAAAACCATGCTTTTAAAAATCAAGAATTTTAAAAAGTTATCCCATCTAGGCCCTACCCTATGGCATGAATTATTTTAATTGAAAATTTTTAATTTTTGATTTTGACAAAAGCATGGTTTTCCAAGTTTTTTGGGGGGTGAGGAACACGAATCTGAAGTCGGTTTTGAGGTACAAAATGTCTATGTCTGAAAACACTTGAAAACACGATCGTAATTGTAGAAAAATTTGAGATTACGATTACGATTGCAATCGAAATCACAACTCTGAAACATTTCATTATAATTGTAATCGTAATTATGATGTAATTATGCCTAATACTGGCTAGTAACTATCCACGATATGAGATAGTTTAGGAAATAGGTTTAGGACTACGTTCTTTTTAGTGATTTACATGAATTGTTTTAGCAAGAAAGAATCTTTGCAAACGCATCTACAAAAATTTATCCTAAATAGAAATTCATTTCACTTGGCAAATATTACATTACTTGCAATTTTTTTTATATTGTTCCATATTGTCTGCATTTTATAGTTTCCTGCACAATCAACTTTCCTATAAATGTATAAGAATCCTCAGTCTAGTGATGAGAAATGGTAAGAATGGGACCTGCAGCAAGGATAATCGGTAACCTTTACTATCGTCAATTGATATTCGTAATTAAATTTTCGAACGATATAACACTCGAACAATTTATATAAGACCTTTGGATTCTTTGGAAAAAATTCCACGCGCCGGCCACCGCTACCACGGGTACCTCGAGCGGCGGGTAAATAGCGAGAATTCGATTACACGGTATTCAAATATCGCGGGACTGTCGCGCGAGTTATCGCGAGAAATGTCGTATTCTCCTGTGTAACGTTTGCAATGCGATTCCAAGCGGAGGAATCCTTTGTGCCGTTCGCTTAGTTTAATTACGTTGCGTTAATTTTAATTACAAGCAGGAAAACGACCGAGTTTACCGGACCGGGGTCGGACTCGCGCACCGTTTTTGTAATGAATTTGTTAAAGCGTCGTCCAGTCGTCGAGGACGACCGTAGAGATAAGAACCCCTTTATCGAGATTTCGTTGCAAACGTTTCCCCGTCGTCGTTACACGTTTATATCAGATTATACCTTTCACGTATAACATGGCCGACTTGGAGTATTCCGTGCCGACGGAATTGTTCGCCACGCACTCGTACTTTCCTTGATGGGTTACGTCGGATTCGGTAATTTGCAGCGCCCCTGTAACACAAAGCAAACGGATTCTTTGGAATCTTTGTACCAGTCAGGTCGATTCCTTCGATGAGTCACCTTTCCCGCGAGTACTCGTTCTATTCGTTAATGATTTTTAATGGTAACCTCAAACGGAACACGGGCTCAAAGGGGGAAAGAACGCGCATAATGTACGTCAAAGGGAGTTTCTCCCCGGGCATCGTTTTCAAACGAACGCACCTGTGCGCTCCATTTGTAGATCAGTCCACCTAACAGGAGCCTGACCGGCGCAATTTTGATCTGAAAGTACCTGAAAAATCTACGAAATGTCAGGCAGTCTGACCCTTTGTCTATCAGGTGTTGTAGAGGAAGTCTCAGGTTTCTCATGAGTTTCTTAATAGAACGACATACAGTCGGTCCCATAAATATTCGTACAATACTGTCTCGAAATAAGCAATTCGGTCGAGAACGGTGAGTTGCTTATTTCGAGGGAGGTATGCTATTCGGCTTGACTTTGTTCTCAAGCGTGACGAGGGGAAACCCGTAGATAAAACAAGGGGTTCGGTGTAGCGGCAAACTATAAAGTGATCCCTCGAGCACGGTTGTTATTCTTTGGAGAAGGATAGAACATAACATGCTTTCTCATCTTAGCAATAGTAAAATCGAATTCTTTTCGGACCTCTCACTCGGCGGATGACTTCAAACAAACAGGTGGGGATAGCGAGTTGTTTATTTCGAGACAATACTGTACCCTCCACGTCTATTGAAGACATTTGTCTAAATTAAATGACAGCTTTGGTGTTTCCAATAAATGTTTCATTATAAATGTATATGTCGCAGGAAGATGATTAAAATGGAGATTCGATAAAATCCCTAAGGTAGATGATCAATTCACGGAAGATGTTAAAATAACAACTCGCACCGCTCTATGTTTCGCTTTCTACCACTCTCTTTTGAAACTAGACACAAATCTAACTCAATCGGGCGATATATTACACAACTCGATGCTAGATTTAACACACATACGTTAGATCAATATAATTATTTTACCTTCACATGATCTTAGTCGTACTTCATTATCTCAGAGTCTTGTATCTTTTATTCCAGTCACATTTCGAATCTACCTTAGGTATTTGATCGAATTTCCATTTCTCTCTGCGACATATACATGTGCAAAGTTTGTTTACGTATATAATTATAATAAAAAATTTATTTGGAATCGTCGAGTCTATCATTTAATTTAAACAAATTTCTTCGATAGACATAGAGGGTACGAATACTTACGGGGCTGACTGTACGTCGAGCGTTTCGAGACTGAAAATATTATCAGAGACGATTGCAAAGCGCGTAAACAAGAACTAGACGACGGGGTTTACGGAGACAAAAACAGACGATTTGCAGGATCGTAGTACAAGACAAGGACTAAAGAAAACAGTGTAATCGTCGAGGCAACGATTGGAATACCCCTAACTCGAATTCTGAGTATTTGGAGATTCCTTGTTTTTTATGTGGATTTATTTTACGTCGCATCTACAGCATGGTAATTAGCGACGAATTCGATTGGGTTTCTGATTAACTAACGGTGCTATATACTACTGTAGAGTTTAGTGTCCTTGAGGTAATTGATGGTATTTTGTACATGTTCTGGGTTTAGGCTGTACTTCCTTCTTTGTAGTTCAAATCTTCTGCATTCGTACAGTAGGTGGTCAATTGTAATTTCCTTATTGCAGGAGTCGCAGTAGGAAGGGTCCGTTTTCTTTAATATGTGTTCATGTGTGATTTTTGAGTGTCCAATTCTCAACTTACAATAGTCATTATTATTTTTTCTCTCCTGGTCATGGTGCTTTGGGGTACTGTACGGTAAAAGTTGGAGATTCTTTTAGCTCTTTAGTTACTAAATAATGCCTGTCGGACTAGTGCATTCCGATCTCTCCATCATCCATAGTTCTCCCAGTTCGAACGGGACGTTTCCCGATCGTCCTGGACGAAAGTTTGAAAAGTGGCAGCCCGCCGCGAGCGTCAGGTGGCGTCTGGCAACGCGTGTAAATGCGGGAAATAAAATATCAACGCGGTCGCTCTCCAACGGGTGTCTACGCTTTATACGGTCGTTGGGGTTCCCTCGCACGGGTTTTCCGGCGCTAATTGAGTTGGTAGGTTGGTCGAGGAACGCGGCAAGGAACGCGTCGAGCGGCGAGGTGTGGAAGCTTCCACACGAGGGGTTGGGAAACGCGAGGGGTGGCACAGAGAGCCGTGGGTGGGAATCCGTTTCAAAGCCCCGTTACAAAGGCCGTCTATTCCACTTTCTGTTTGGCCTGGCCGGTTCGTGCGCGATTTCCATGATGCATCAAGCCCCTTAGCACGATACCACGATGATGAACTGGCTGTTACGAGGCGTGTGATTATCTCCGTAGACGTCACTCCTTCGGTATAATTCAACCACCTTGGATCTCCGCCTCCGTCGGCCCTCCGCACTTCGCCCCTGCAACTCCCGCAGACCTTCTCGTTTCTCGACTTCCGACTCCGGCGCGCAAATTCCCCGGTTCGCAATGTAAACACGACGGATCGACCCGGGAGGGGTGTGTTTTCCATCGTTTTCGACGTTGACGTTTTATCGAACGACGGTGATCATTAACGATGGTAATTAATGGCCTGTTTCGCGCGCAGGAAGGAAACTGCGAACAGAGACGCGATAGTGGAGGCGAGTAAAATTCTTCCAGTCGATTTTTCAGGCTGTATTCGCGTCACAAAGTCATCCCCATCTGCTGGTTCGAGGGGTGCCTTCATCTTCGACACGCGACACCGTCTCTCGGGTTGCAAAAGAGGACGAGCGTCGGGGATCACGTTTAAAACACAGCGATACAGTCTGTTCGTGGAACGTAATCGCTACCGTGTCCAACAAAATGGGAATTCTCCGTCGCAGGGAATAGGGACATCGCTAAACGCATTTCTTCGCATCCCGTGGTCGAGGAGTAGGAGGATTCAATTGAAACGCCGTCGAGCGCAGGTTTAAATATTTTCCTACGGTTCCGACAACTCGTATGGATTTATAGGGTTTCGTTGTAAACGTGACTCCACCGACGAGAGCAAGAGGGCGAACGAAGTGAGTCGATGGGGCGGGAAGGGTCGAGGGCAGAAAACACTCCATCACGAACGATGGCCGAGGCGGTTTGATATCACGTACGATCGGAATACATAATCGAGCCTCATCTACAATTTCCAGTAAGCTGACCAGGAAGGAACGCGTGGTCATATTGTTATCCCATCCAGTCACGTGCACGTTGTTAGCGTTGACTGTGAAAAACTTAGATTGCCGTGAACAGCCGAACGCCCGGAAACCGTTGCTCATCCGTTCGTTCTACCCCTTTCCCAAACGCCTGGCCTCGGCACTCCTACCAAGAATCCACAGATTTAGGCGAAATTGCATTCGAATAACATCGTGCATTTATCCACCCTCTAGCGTTGGTATTCCTTAACCCTTTGCGCTCGGATGTCTCCTCTAAAGGGCATCGTAAGTCCAGGCAAACTTCATTAGTGTTTACACAGGATATACTTATGGGAGCGTAAAATTTGTAAAAGTTTATGATTCCTTGAATGTTTCTATTCAATTACTCACGAAAAATCAAACAAAAATACGGGTACATGTATTAAGATAAATATAACAAATATGAGCTTGTGCTACATGGAAAAAGAATGTGTGAATAGTCTGCACCTTAAAAAAGCAACAGAGAGCATTTGTATAAGTAAATAAAATGTGAGAACGTATTTTGTATGACATGATACTATTCGCAAAGATAAACAAGAAAGCCTAAGATTGCAACTCAAAATATAGAAACTACCGATGCATATCTCTGACTGTATCACACATTGTCACATATCAAAAGTATAAAATTTTGATTTCTGACATAAATATATTTTCTTCAATGTCTAAAGATTCCTACATGTAAGCTCAAGTACCATTACGGTAAATTACATGCTTTATAAGTTACATTATGTAATACGACGCGATTCTTGTTTGCACATTCGTACACCACATCGAGTAACCGTAGATGGTCGACTCCTCGCGTGTCTTTTTCAGATAAGAACTTTTCCTTCGATTATTCGCAGCACGTTCGAACAAACCGACACCGAAATTTCACGACGATGAAAAACTCGCCGCTGTGAACGGTATTACCAGGTAATTTATGCGAGCGAGCGTGCGTTTAATGCAGCGCTTAACGTATCGGCAATGAAAGCGGAGAACGCGTGGGGGACTCTGCCAACGAGGGCAATTAGACGTTCGATGAGAACCCCCTAGCGTCGAGGGCGTGCGTTCTTTACGAATTCTGAATAATCATCGCACGCGAGCACCCGACCGCTCGCGGCAAGACGTGAACAAATTCTATCGCGTCGACGCAACGGTGTAACACGCGTATCTTCCTTTTGGCTTCCGATAAAACTCGGTGACGTTCAAGTGGTGTACACGATCTATCTAGGTTCGCGTCGCGATAACGTCGACGCGCACGAAACGGCTTTTACTGTGCAAAGAAGGCGAAATTGAATAAAGATGAAAATCTATCGCGCGCTCGCGTCTCGTGGCAGAGAGAAAAAAAAAAGGGTTGTACCGATCTACGAGATGTCCCTTTGATGTATGCCCCGGCGTGGTCATTCGAGGCGTAAGCCAACTGCAGACTCTTCAAAAAAATCGATTTCTTCCGGGTGAATGCCATTGATATCGACACTTTATTTATTGAATTCCAATTATTCCCAGAATTTATTAAGGAAGTATTATCGCCTAGAAGTTTGTTTTTCACTAATTTTTAGGAATTAATTTTGAGAAAACTATCAAATCTACGGTACCAAGGTTTTTTTATGCATAATAAAATACGTTTCAATTAACAACACAAATTTGTATGAAATACTTCATTGAAATCTGTGCAAGTTATGCGCTGTTATGCAAGTTGTGGCGTGAGACGCTCGTTCAATCGGGCGCACAGGCTGTGGCGATTCTAGTCGTCTGAGACAGAAAAACAAATTTTTTTTTCAATCTATAT